TGTTACGGGTGGTACACAGAAACGACAGAGATATCAGCAACATGGAGAATCAAAGTGGTGACACAAGGAAGGGATCAAAAGAAGTCAAAGCGATATCCCTATTGTATCCTACGAAGAACTAGAGGATGACCTGGATGACTCAGATCAGCCTAAATGTTGTAGATACGGAGCCAATTGCATATTAGGGCAGTGCAACTGTATTGAAAAGAGAGGGGAACAAATTACTGTTATCCAGTCCCTGGTGATACATACAAATGATGAAACAAGACAGTCAGAGGATCACATGAAACCTGGTCTGTTCGAAATAAGGAATTTCATGAACTCTCGGTTTGCAGCTGAGAAAACAGACTGGAAACAAAACAAGAAAAGATGTGGCTGAATTGTAGAAAATAAGGGATAGATATCCCTAATTTTCAACATTCCTTCCCCCCCCCCCCNATTGTAATAAAAACAGTGGCATATCCCATAATAACCTAGATAAATTACATTGTACTATGGATGTAATGCAAGGAAAGTTATTTCAGAAGTGTACACATCTTTTGTACTGCAGTTTACTCTCTCTGGGCGGTAATGTAAACACAAAACGGATGTCAAAGCCTGACATGGGATCTATCTTTCACATATATACTCAGTTAAAAAGACTAATTGAACGATTACCAAGCAAAAGTAATTGTTCCTCATTTAGCAAACAAGAAACCCCTGAGATTGTGTCCGAGGCATTGATACTTTACAAGATTGTGTCCAAGGTTGAGGCATTGATAGTTTATAAGATTGTGTCCGAGTTGAGGCATTTATGAGATCGCGTCCAAGTTGAGGCATTGATATTTTATGAGATCATGTTCAAGTTGAACCATTGATAGTCCACAGTTCAGAGATCCTGTCCTGGTAAAGATAGATCGTGTCCAGTTTGACATTAATTGCAAAGTGACATTGAGTTATACCTGGATTAGTACGGGTTTGAGAAACCGTTATGGAGTAGGGCATTTACTACATGTATAGATATTTGTAGACTTACAATAATGTAGCTGCAGCAACGGAAACTGAAGATTTTAAATTGTTAAATCTTGTATCATCAGAAGTTGTAGAGAAAGACGGTTGGTTGATAGTAGATAGTAGATAGGTAGAGAGTAGATTGTATAGTAGATTAGATAGAAGATACAGGATTAGACTTCAGAGAATTTATACTCTGTATATAACTTTAAACTTCTTTCTTTAAATCATTGAATAAGTCATTGCAAGACCATATTTAAGGCAAAAGACTTCATTTAAACTTGAGATCGTCATATTTGAAGAATTTTATATAATCTTTACAGTCTTATCCTTTGTTAGTTCCCTTGAAGTAAATTAGTGAGCTGAGATAAAAAAGAATCAAGGTTTTGTAAAAATTGAAAACAAGTTTTTTCATAGAAAGGTTTTCAAATAGATTTAATTTGTTAACATGTACCTAATTATATGATTAGGGATCCTAGAATATTAGAAGTATGAGGAACCTTCTCTTTAAATCCAATATAAATAATATTGTTCGATGGAGGACGCTAAAACTTAGAAAGGACTCCTAAACACTTTTCTAGGGGGATTAACTTCCCCCCTCTTTATCAAAGGCAAAGAGGATTTAGATATCATTAATATGAATCCTGAAGATTGAATACATATTTCTAACCTGATCCAACCTTATCCAACCTGATCCAACCTTATTCAATCTTATCCAATCTTATTCAACCTTATCCAACCTTATGCAATCTTATCCAAACTGATCCAACCTTATCCAACCTGATCCAACCTTAGCCAACCTTATGCAACCTAATCCAACCATACTTTATTAAACCTTATCCAACCTTATCCAACCTTATTCAACCGAATTTAAAGAATTTTTGCCGTGGCTTAAATATAGTTCGTTCCATATAAAAATGTAATCAATGTTTCAAGATTTAAGTCGGCGCTCAATTGAAACCGGTTTTTGGAAGATTTGAGACGCGGGTCAATTTCATTAAGTTCGGACTCTGATCCAACCTTATTCAACCTTATCCATCCCTATCCAGCCTGAGCCAACCTTATCCAACCTAATCCAACCTGAGCCAACCTGGTCCAACCTGATTCAACCTGATCCAACCTGATCCAACCGTATCTAAACTTATACAAACTTATCCAACCTTATCCAACCTGATCCAACCTTATCCAACCTGATCCAACCTTATCTAACCTTATCCAACCTTATCCAACCTGATCCAACCTGATTCAACCTGATTCAACCTAATCCAACCTAATCCAACCTGATCCAACCTTATCCAACCTGATCCAGCTTGATCCAACCTGATCCAACCTTATTCAACCTAATCCAACCTAATCCAACCTGATCCAACCTTATTCAACCTAATCCAACCTAATCCAACCTGAGCCAACCTTATCCAACCTTTTCCAAATATACCTAATCTATCTAAGCCTGATCCAACTATATCAAAATATTAAACCAGATTTAACCATATTCGAAAATTAAACCTGATCCAACCATATCCAAATATTAAAGTTGATCCAACCATATCCAAATATTAAACTTAATCCAACCATATCCAAATATTATACTTCCAACCATATCCAATTTTACAAATATTAAACTTAATCCAACTATATCCAACCGGATGCAATCTGACAGGATGATGGAACTCTAGTCTTACAACCTTCAAGATTCGATCATCCTTACTCTCAGATTTAAACTGAAATTTATTCCATGAAGTGAATGTTCACGGTTTAAAACATGGGTTTCATTATAAATTAACATCTAATACCCCAAAAGAATTAAGGCTTTGCAACAAACTTCTGAATTTCTCATCCCTATATCTTTGCAACCCATCAATGTCGTAGACCTTAGATATTTCAGACTATTAATTCTGTTTATTAATGTTAGGATTAAAGGATTCAGAACATTGAATTCAATTCAATTTAAATTGTAGAAAGCAGAAGCAGAATAAAGTTGTGGAGTGTAAAGGTTTGTTTAGAATGTAGAATATCGAATTGAAAAGATGAAATATAGATTGGAGAGTCTACACATGGTGTTTGGAAGTTATAATTATAAAATAGTAAGCTAGTGAGAAGTAAAATGTAAAATACCAGGCCGCACCCATCTTCTATTTCAAATGTTAATATTTTTTTTTTGTATACAAGGTAAAGCGAAACCAAACAAAAAGTTAATGGATTTTCTAAAAAAAAATCGTGGATTTCAAAATTTAATAAAAATTGAATTTTGTTGTGGTTAATTTTTAAAATTTTTTGGTCATCCATATACCTTTGTCACAAACTCCAATTTTTTAATCCCTACATCTTTGTAATTAGTTGGTGTAAAACTTTAATATTTCAAACCTAGATTATTTGATCTAACAAAATTGTTAATTTGAAATATCTAAAGTCTACGATAGAAAATCAGAGTTTTTGGCAAAGACCGAATTCCTTTGAATCATATAATATAATAAATTTATTACGGCTGCATAAGATGCATAGGATGCATAGATGCATAGACTTGTATAGGAAAATATATACAAGTTTATATACGGCTGCATAGGATGCATAACTCGTTTTTAACTCCAATGGTCTCATATCGTGCTGGTATCTATTTACAAACTAGTTTGGGAACCCAGCTTTGCCTACACAAGTTAGCCTTCTTAACATAGAACTTTTTAAATTTGAGGAAAATCTGTAAAGGGGGTGCCTGAGTTATGATCAGATTCTTTTAGCCAAATTTTCTGCTTATTAAACCATCTTCAGGCATAAATGACATTCAAAATAAGTCACTTGAATAATAGGTATTTTTAAATTAAAAATAGGTCACTTGAATAATAGGTATTTTTAAATTCAAAATAAGTCACTTGAATAATAGGTATTTTTAAATTCAAAATAAGTCACTTGAATAATAGGTATTTTTAAATTAAAAATAGTTAAAGGATTGATTAACAATATATAAGAAATAAATAAACACTATTCAAGAACTATCCCATATTCACTCTCGAACAAGGATAAAGTACATCAAGTTTGAGTTTTGTAATTGATTGTGTGGGGGTATTCAAATATGTGTTCTGCAAATGTAGATAGATAGATACTAGAGTCCCATGATATTTCTACTGTATATGAGTTTTAAACAAATTGACGTCAGCCAATGACGGCTCATGTTATCTCTTATTTGTATTTCGAATATAACTTGGATGTAAATGATATAAAAAGTATTTACAACAGTTCAACTAACCTTGGGATTGAGAAAAATAATTATTTGTCAAAAAGTAAAGAAAAATTTCAAATAAAGTTTTCTTTTTCCAGCAAACAGAAGCTATTTCTTTTCAATATTATTATATTGGGTGACAACATCGATTCTACAGGATGTTTTTTTAAATGTCAATTTTCAAACGTTAATAACTCCGTAATTTTTAAAGATATCTAAGTTATCTAACAAGCTAATTAAACATGAGATGGGCAATTTAAATAATAAATAAAGAGATTGTTTTAGAATTCCTCTGATTGACTTCGGTCCTGCAGCCTGCAGCCACCTAGAAGTAAAAAACCAAGGGGTTCAAGTCCGGACTCTTAGCACACGCCGGACTAACCAGATTGAGCAGCATTCGGTTTCTTCTATTTGAGATCAAACGTATTTTGTTCTATAATTCAACAATTTTTACCTTACGGATTTGTTTATTCTATACTTTTTCATTCAAAATGCATTTGTCGACAAAAAAGTAGTTAAGAAAAAAGGCCAAAAAATATGTTTAATGGGTCAAATTATGATAGAAAGTCACAGCTTTCTTCAATATTGACAGAACCATTAAATCCACGTGAGCAGGCCGACTGATTCGAAATAACTCATCCGTTAAACTTTTATAATATATTATTTAAAGTGGCAATCTTATCTTTAATTATCTTTTACGAGAGCTTAGATCTTTAAAAATGATGGAGTTATTAGTGTTTGAAAATTAATACTTCACCCTGTTTATAACATTATACTTTACTCTTATCTTCCGTCATATTCAGATTTAGATTAGTTCCTAGAAAACAATGAGAAGAACAGGACTCCTAGTTCTCCTGTTTACTCTGCAGGTTGGAGAGATCTTCTCCCAATGCAACTCCTTACCTGATGGTTCATCCTGCCAAGGCCAGGATGATAATATGTATGAAGATCCTGAAGAATGCAGTAACTACTATCAATGTAAGAACGGATGCGCTATTCTTAAAACATGTGAGCGAGAATTTTTATTTGATTCCTTCTATGGTTACTGTAACTATCCCTTTGATGTAAACTGTGGAACCCGACCTTGTGAAAATCAAGGTCACTGTTTTACCACAACTAAACGCCCAACCACAACCACAACAGCAGACTGTGGACACTGGGCTGAATGTTCTGAGCTGGGAGAAGGAGACGGATATTTCCCAGATCCTTACAACTGTAGGAAATACTGGCACTGCTATGACAATGAACCTGAGCATATCACATGTGCTGATGGTCTGGTATTTGACGAGGTTAATATCTGGTGTGATGAACCTGGTCGTGTTAACTGCGGTGACAGACCTATCTGTGACGACTGTGACTTGAACTGCTACGAACCGAGCACTCCTAAACCTGACTGTGGTCACCAACTGGACTGTAGTAAGCTGGAGGATGGTTATTATGCTGATGATTATAACTGTAGAAGATACTGGCAGTGTACTGGAGGTCATGGTATCCACAACTCCTGCGATGGAGATCTCCTTTATGATCCTGATCATGTGTGGTGTGAAACCAGTGACAAGGTGACCTGTGGTGACCGACCTATCTGCGGTGAATGTGAGGAGGACTGTGCTCCTCAACCTACTGGACCTCCAGACTGCGGGCATATCATGGATTGTACTGGAGTACCTACAGGATACTACCCAGACCCGTTCAACTGTAGGAAATTCTGGATCTGTGACCAGGATATAGGAACCCATGTCACCTGTGATAAGAACTATCTGTATGATGAGAAAAATATAGCGTGTGATCTTCCCGATAGAGTTAACTGTGGAGGGAGGCCTGTTTGTGATGAATGTGATGAAAACTGTGAAAATTAAAATGATTTCATATGATTTTTATAAGTTTAAATAACAATAAAACATTTATAAGAATATATTTATATGTATGTGCCTAGAGAGTGTGAAATTGTAGAAAATGAAAGTGAGAGAAAAAGTAATGAAAGTAAGCAGTTCATCCGAATCCTTCTTTAGGTTCGGTTCAGGTCTCCAGGTTCTCCAAAGTAAAACTGAATGAAAATCTCCGTATCTTTTAACTTAGTTTGAGTTCTTTTCAATTTTAATTTCCTGTCACGTCTTTTATTTCCACAACTTTTTCCAGACATTCCTGCAATATTTTATCTTGAATTTCAATCTAACAAACCTAACTCATATTTCTAGTTCTTCCTTCATCAAACTCCACTCCTATATATCTTCTCTAACCTAGCTCTACTCCTATATATCTTCTCTAACCTAGCTCTACTCATGTATATCTCCATCTTGTCCTTCTCCTTTAACATAGCTCATCTTCTATCCTTCTCCTTCAAGCTAGCTTCTCCCCTTCCATCTCCTTTAACCTAGATCCAATCCTATCCTTTCCTTTAACCTAGCTCCCCTCCTATCCTTCTTCTTTAACCTTGCTCCCCTCCTAACCTTCTCCTTTAACCCAGCTCCACTACTATTCTTCCCCTAAAACCTAGCTCGACTCCTATCCTTCCCCTTCAACCTAGCTCCCCTCCTATCCTTCTCCTTTAACCTAGCTTCACTCCTATCCTTCTTCTTTAATCAAGCTCCACTCCTATTCTTCTCCTTCAACCTAGCTCCTTTCCTATCCTTATCCTTTAATCTAGCTCCACTCCTATCCTTCTCCTTCAACCTATCTCCCCTCCTATCCTTCTCCTTTAACCTAGCACCACTCCTATCCTTCCCTTCAACCTAGCTCCTCTCCTATCCTTCTCCTTTAACCTAGATCCTCTTCTATCCTTCTCCTTCAACCTAGCTCCTTACCTATCCTTCTCCTTTAACCTAGCTCCACTCCTATCCTTCTCCTTCAACCTAGCTCCTTTCCTATCCTTCTCCTTTAACCTAGCTCCTCTCCTATTCTTCTCCTTCAACCTAGCTCCTTACCTATCCTTCTCCTTTAACCTAGCTCCACTCCTATCCTTCTCCTTCAACCTAGCTCCTTTCCTATCCTTCTCCTTTAACCTAGCTCCTCTCCTATCCTTCTCCTTCAACCTAGCTCCTCTCCTATCCTTCTCCTTCAACCTAGCTCCTCTCCAATCCTTTCCTTCAACCTAGCTCCTTTCCTATCCTTCTCCTTTAACCTAGCTCCTCTCCTTTCCTTTTCCTTCAACCTAGATCCTCTCCTGTCCTTTTCCTTCAACCTAGCTCCTTTCCTATCCTTATACTTTATTTTAGCTCTACTTCTATCCTTCTCCTTCAGCATAATTCCACTCCTATCTTCTTCATATCACTTCTAACCTTCCCTCTCTCAACTCCACCAAACAGTATATCTACTGTCTTTTATTTTAATTATTTACATTTTCAGAATTGTTAGACATGTTAGTTTGTAATATTAATTTTTAATTATTTCATTTTAGATTATTTAGTGTCCATTGAATATTGAGAAACGCTCTTTTTAAATTCGACAGTATCCGTTTAGCCGTTCATTTTCTCCGTTCCTTCTTTTCATATTGTTTCTTGTACAGCTGTAGTGGATTGCGTTTTTATCTTTTTCTAACCTTGATCAATATGATTCTCATCCTACTGTTCATCGGCCTAGGATGCATCTCAGGTGGGAAAATGTTCTTTAGTACAGGGTGTCCCAAAAAACATGGGAATTCAGTGACGAATTCGATATCGTCTTTTCAAATAATTCTTTGATTTAGTATAGTGATACCTACTGAAATTCGTCACTGAATTCCCATGTTTTTTGGGACACCCTGTATGTTAGCCTCCTAAAGCTTTGTGTTAAGACGTCTATACATATAGAGATTGTAGCACAATTTCTAATTCTAACTAAAAGCTCTGCGTGTGTTTGTAGTAGTATTGCGTGTTTGATAAACCTGGTCAAGTAAGTATTTCTATTTTTAACGGTTATCTTTGTTTGATACTAAATATTTTGTGGCTAAAGTATGTAAACAAGCACAGAGAATTTCTACTTTTAATCAATTAAAAAAAATGTAGTATTTCTACGTGGAAAAAAAACAAAGATCATCTCAATTAGGATTTGAAATAGCTGGACTGGATCCTGACTGTTGCAAAGTTATCCTGCTCCAGGTCCCGGAATCCACTTATAAAATAAGAACGGAGAGGTTTGGAGTTTACAATATATCCGGTGAGCTAAACAATAGGCCTGTATACAAACATGTTAGGTAAGAAAGATAACCTATCTAACGAAGATAAAATCATAATAATGTAAACTAATAATATCATACTTTAAGTGAGGAGAAATATGTTTATTACTGGGCTTTTGAGAAAACAAATAGGTATGTATTGTTTTTTTTGTAAAATGTCTTTGGAGAAACAAAAATTAGAATTTGGATTAAAAATGATAAGATATAAAACCTTGATGGAGGATTTAGATACAAGAGGGGAATTGACAAGGATATCTTGTAGAAGAAGGTGGGAGACGAGGGGGAATCCTTTTTGGAGAGAGATCTTGGTAGAAGAGAGGAGGGGGACTAAATTGCTGCGTAAGGGGAATAGAAGAGGGAATATTAGGGGAGGTGGCCAAGGACCAAGGACCAAGGATATGAGGAAGAGGGGGGAAGAAGAGGAGAAGAGAAGGGGGTGGTGACCATAGACCAAGGACCAAGGGTATGAAAGAGAGGGTGGGAGGACTATGTGAATTGAAAAGACAGGTTAGAAGGGTTCTTTTTAATTAACTCTTATTTAAATATTCTAACAATTTATAATCCTAGATTAAAGATTACAGTAGGATTATATTCTATTTATCCAGGTGGGTAGGAGGGTACAACCCAACCTCACCACTTCATTATCTAGAGGCAGGGAGGGATAATACTGGACCATGCTTCGAACCTCAGAAATCTGAACCATTCAAGGTGAGTTCTATTCAACAATTGAAGTTAGAATGAAAATAGGAAGGGTCATTCCAGCTAAAATTTATACCAGACAAAATTCTGTATCTAAGTGTATAATCTTACCAAAATATGAATTTGAAGATATGGAACGGAGAAAAGTGGATAAAAGATGAAACTATAAAAGTGTCTTGTATAGAGGAGAAATATAAAAGGTAACAAATTAGTTTAATTCAATTTATTCAAAGTTTTCACCCAACAACTAAGTAAAAACTTATGAATAGTTAAATCGTAGTAAAAATCTGAATTTCTTTTGAAATGTTAATGGGATGGTTAATAGTAGCATGCGCCGGATCCGCCCCTTACTCCAGATACTGACCAGAGCTTAATTCTATCTCGGAGCTCGTGGGAACCTAAACTCAAGCTAGAGTAAACATCAAACAGAGAAGGAAACAGGGTGGTTTTATGGGTTCTTAATAACAGGGGTATTTTAAAATTTCTTCCTTACAGTTTCAAATTATTACTTTATTAATTGAAACTATTAAAATGTACTCCAGGTTCCCGGAGATAGATCCTGGATTTACTTCCAAGAGTAATTTTAATCAAGAGTTTGTTCTCCCAGTATCTCCGACTGTGCCTGAACCTTCTCCGATATTAATCAGTAATCCTAGCCTGTCTCCAATCAGTCCATTAATCCCAACGGATTTAGCTCCAGTATCCCTAACTAAACCTGGAGACTGTTGTGCTGAACTATTGGTATCTAGCTCCGGACACGGGGTAGAGTTTCAACCAGGAAAACTAGGTTTGATAATATTTTCTAAAAAATAAATTTATCTGACATTTTTAAATTTTCAAAATATGGTTTTACTGTTCCACGGCCCGGGGGGAGAGAATAATTCTTCGCTATGTTTACACAATCATCATACAGCCAACCTAGACTTTAAAAATGTATTATTGAAAGATTGAACTATCCGAAATAAATGCTAAAAATCTCACATAAGTGGAGAAAGGATAAACACTTAAACCACACTAATATCCTATTCAATACTGGGACAAACTTAATTTACTTTCATTGAATTTTAAGAAGAAATTTAACTTTAAAACTTGAGAATAAATCAGAAATTAAGTTGTTCTTTCAAACGTCATATTTAAAAACATGTCACTTAGTCACAATCACAAAGGAAATTGCTCTTTAAAAGTTATATTTAAATAAATTCTAAAATACCATGTATCAGGTGTGTACAGGTGGGGTGGAGAGAAACCATCAATGAACCAGTTTCCAGTTTACTACGGAGACAATAGTCAGATCCTGTATTTATGGGATTGGGGTCCAGGACAGGTTTATTTTAGTTAGGATCAGGGTTTCCTATTTATCACCAGCTGGGAAATTGTGAATGGATTTAATGCGTTAAATCCATTCTCGCCTCGCCAGAAGATCATCTCATTTATTCAAAAGTTTTGACCTAAGAGGGATAGGATGGAATGATTCAAATTTTCAATTTAAAATTGTTCGTCTTAAATTTCAAATTTACATATCAAATGAAAAAACTACGCGTTTTTCAGTGACATATTATTTTTTTTCAATGCAGTTTAATTATAACGTAGATTCTGGGAGAAATGAGTAAGTTTCATAATAAAGAGTTGTTAATATTCAAAACGATCTTTTGTAGGGGATGAATTGGTTTATTGGATCAGAGCTGGGTCCAGCTCGAGGAGTCGAATCTCCGAATCTAGAGAAGGTTAAAGACAGGTGTCCTGAGAAGATTAACAAGAGTCAGATTCCATTCCAGGTTTATACTCAAGCCCGTCCCTCCTCTCTTCTCTCCAGGGTTACAGGTTCTCTATCTAGGTCTTTTAGGGGCGTTGAGTCGGAATATGAATAAATAATATTATCAATTGTCAAGAATTTTAAAGAATTTAAACAAAAACTCATAATCCTATTTCTCATCATTAGCTAGATGAATGATAGATTTTGAAATAAAAAATGGAAAAATAAATTGAACTTTTTTCACTTTGATAATGAAACGAAAATGTGCAGGATGGCAACCTGACCCTGCACTCAGAGTTGAATGTTTCCAGACAGCTAGAAACAGTTCCTGCTGTGACAGGTGCAAAATATAACGACTTTTGCTGAAGAACGTAGCGTCCATAAAAATTCAGAAAGTTGCAACATTCAACTCGGATTGTAAAAAAATCAATTAAACAGTTAATCAAAACTATTGTGTTATGTCTGATTTACAACGTTACCCCTGAATTTTAATTAATAATTTTTATATAACGCGTCCCAGCTTGACAGAAAAATATTTTGAATTATTTTGTAAACTTTATTTGAAGGTTGGAGCTGATATCGGAGCAAGGGAAAATCTGGCAACCTGAAAAACTTGGAATCTACAGGAACCAATCAAGCTGTTGTTTATAAAAGAATTGAGTCTTTGCAAAAAAACTCATATTTTTCCCTATATCTTTGCAACATTAGAATATTTAATCTGACAGAATTTATGGTGTAAAATATCAAAGGTCTACAACATCGTGTTGCAAAGATATAGGGATTATAAAACCAGTGTTTGTGGTAAAAACTCAATTCTTTTCCAATCCAAACATTAACATTTTTTAGCTTTCCATTTATTCAAAATACATGAATGGGGTTACAGGTGAAAAAGGTGGGGGAAGACGACTCCCCATAAAACTGTGGAAGACGACATTTAATCAATTTTCCGAATAGTTGATGTTGATTTACATAAAATGGTTTAATCAGTAGTTTGAAAATCAACTTATTCAGTGTCTGTGTACAATCGCGTTACTTGATGCTCTTTAAACTTTATTCTAACAGTCGTCGTCCTTCTATTCCATATTGTTATGGGTATCACTGTATTAGTCTTTATTAACGAATTTGTTTAGCTTGAACGGAACGTTGAACGGGAGAAAGGTTTGGAGACATGAATCCCGTCAGGTTTACATATACTTCTGGAACTGGGGAGTAAACTCAGGACAGGAATGGATGGTCGGACACAGCCCTGGATCCGCGGTTCGTGGGATCAGGGATCATAGAGAAACCAAAATAAAGGCATTTAAAACCATCCAGGAGTGTATACATGGCGGGGGGGGGGGGGGCTATCGGGGCTAGAGAAGCGAAATCTTTGATTCCCTGTTATTTCAAAAACGCGTTAATACGTTGAATACGCTCATGAAACCCGCTGAAATTGATTGAAACAAAAACAAGATGATTTAAAATATAATTCTGGTTTTCTTGATTAAGGAGTAATAACCTAGAGAATGCCCGGAGTACAGAGTGTGTACTAGACCGAGAAAATAAAGGGAATGTGTGATTATTAAACAAAAAATTCAATTTTGCAGCTTTCAATTCAGTACAGTGATAACCAGAAAACTCTGGAATAGGTTAGGGAATTTTCAGACTCAATTAATGACTCTAAATGACAATGAACAAGAGACAACACAATTGTGCGTTATAAAAAGGCCCAAATGACTTAACAACTGATTTTAAAATTTACTTGAAAAACTATTTACTTAGTACTATTTATTATTGCTTTTAATGTCGTCTTCCTGTTCTGAAGTTTTCTGGTTATCATAAAAATATCATAAAAGACATAAAATTACCATGACAGCCTTCCCAAAATCCTATGAAACTTGAAACAAATACATTGACCGATTTTAAAGTTATTAGAGAATAGTTAAGAATAACCTTTTAAACCTAAGATGCTATAATATAAGTGTGCAAACACAGTGAGTACACCTTAGTACTACAAGGACCCAATCTAAGTGTACCCCTAATATATTAAAAATACACACTTCCTTTACAGATTGGAGTCTCTACACAGAAGATAATATTTGGATAAAAGATCCAACCTTTAAGCTTGTCTGTATTCAATAAATAAATAAATTTATTACAATTTAACAATCAAGATGTAAACAACAAATTATTCAGAAATTCAATTAATTAAATCTAATCTTAACATGAAATATTTTGAGTTTCTTTTTGTTTAAGAATTCATAATCAATTCCTTTCTATAATTTTTAAAATATTTTATTTAATGAAATTTTTCATAACTTTTAAAGAACTATGTACATCTTCTTCACATATTACTGCAGATTCAGATAAAATAAATTGTATACACGGCGTGAGGTATCCCCAGTAGAATGAAAACCACGAGTACACAATTAAATATTCTATTCCAATATTTCCTCTGCATTCCAGTTGTATTTTCTTAGTTTGGCAGGAAATTCTTGAAGCTGAAAAATGTTTGTTATTTTAAATGTTTTCAATGTTTAGTTTCTACATATATACTTTATTTGTTTGCGCTTTGCGTAAAAACGACTGAAAAATTTGCCCAGAATTTTTTTTTGAAAATGCACCAATTAAAACAAAAAAAATCCGCGAACATTTGAGAACCATTGATAATGGTGATGTCAGAGTTTAAAACCTAGTTATCTGAAAAAACGAATTCGGAATTTTCAGTGAAATCTATTATTACTACTAATTATATCGTCTTTGATAAACTGAACCTTTAATAAACGTTTTAATAAATTATGGGAATCAAATGACGGATTTGAAATGCTGTTTATCAAGAATTAATGCTGTATAATGCCTATTTCGACGGCCAAGTTACGCCTGCTAGAGTAAATTTTATGTAAACGGGAAAAAGGTTTTTTTACTCTTCAAAACATTGTATATGATGTATCCGTAACATTCTGCAAAATGAACATTAAAGAGAAACCGCTGCAGTACCTTAATTGATTGTAAACAGGAATTTTTTTATTTTACTAAGGATAACCTAAAGCAATCAAAATATAATAAAACAAAATCTAAACTCGAGAAAATTGTTCTAAGGATTACAGGTTTCCTAGCATTAAACACTGTTTATTAGGACACCCTATACGATCTCGTTAATACAATTACAACGAAAACTTTCCCAAATATGGTGTGTCGTTTTTTCCCTTAAAATTGACGTTGAAATGTAATGAAAGAAATTGAGTTTTTGCTACCAGTTCTAATATTCTAATCCCTATATCGTTGCAACATGATGATGTAAACCATTGATATTTTAAACTTATTATATTTGATCTAACAGAATTCGTAAATAGAAATATTAAACGACATCGGGTTGCAAAGATATAACGATTATGAAATCTGTAATATTTTCATCAATCTTTAAAGGGAGTGTTCGCGAAAAGATACCTCTTTTGGAGAGTTCATAAAGCATACAATATCAAGGTCGTCTCTAAATTACTATATTTCTGGGACATCTTGTGCAGTGTACAACCTACCTGGATAGGACAGGACTGGAGTAGAGGATAATCAGGTTGGTTTGGTGAGGTTCTACTGTGTACTCCAGCCTCTCTCCAGTTGTTGACGAGAACCTCCCTGCTCCCTAGGTTTAGGTACAGGGTGAACAGATTCTCTTTGTTACTATGGAACACGTGCCACTGCTCCCAGGTCATGTGACGCCTGCCCTGTCTGGTGTGGATGTGCAACCAATCCGAGGTTATTAAACCTAGAAATCATTTTTTCATAAACCTTATGAATATATATGCGTGAATAAAATAATATAATAAAATGTCTAAAATATTCTGAGGTTGTGGATTAAACATGTTATGAAATCCAAAAAAGTGATTTTCCATTTGGATAATTTGGAGCTTTTTGAAAAGTATCTTTAATCTTTTAAACCTTTCCAGAAGTCAGAACTTTTGTGTTAATCAAGATTTAATCCATCCATTCAATTTGAACCATCCTATATTATGCAGATCTACGGATTCATTTCATTTCTCTTCGATATTCTGATATTCTGTGATGGTCAGTGCCCCTGGATATCAAGATCAAGTGTTAAACATTACAAATATCCACACAAAAAAAAACAACCCTTAACAATTTAACAAGCCCGTTGCGGTGACAATTAGCATCAGAGATTTTACCCTTCAAGGTTATTGTAGATAAAAGCTCGTGATCTAAAGGAGTTGATTCTTTGCCACAAACTTTGATTTTTAAATACCTATGTCTTTGGAACACAATGTCGTAAACCTTTGATATTTCAAACTTATATTATTTGATCTAACAGAAGTCATAGTTTGAAATGTAACAGGTCTACGACATTGGAATCCCGAGATATAGGGATTAGAAAATCAGAGTTGGTGGCAAGGACTCAATTCCTTTTTAAGTACGAAATCTCTTGACGTATCTTTGTAACACAATGGTATACAGAGCTATGCAAATTATTTAGATCGGATCAATTTTAAAATGTCGGCAGTCCTCGACTTTTGATTCTATTTTTCTTTCTTTTTTAAGTTTTGAATGAGTATTTGGTAAAATTCCCATAGATTTTTGCGCCAAAATGTTTAAAAGTTTTTAAGATTTAAAACTCATTTACAAATTAGTTTTGAAATAATCAATTTCTTACCTGGAACGTATGGATCGAATGTCTCCGAGTCCAATGAGTTGAACCAGGTGAGGAGCTGAACCCAGCGTGCAGGATGAGGAGAGAATCCCCAGGTTCCAACCAACCTGTAGAGGAAAGGAACTCCGTCGTTCTCTATCTCGAAATCTCTGTCTGGCTTCTGAAATATCAATCAATCAATGAAATCTTGAAAGAAGTCTTCAGTGGTCATAAAATGTACAAAAAGTAGTTTCATACATGTGATATATCTTAAAACAGAAAAACAAGAATTAAACATGTATTTTGTAATTGTATAGGAATTGAGTCTTTGCCTCAAACTCGGATTTTCCAATCTTTATATTCTTGCCAACCGATAATTCACAGACCTTAGATATTTAAAACTGTAAATTCTGTTAGATCAAATTATCCAAGTTTTAAATATTAAAGGTTTACACAATAAGGTTGCAGAAATATTGGGATTTTAAAATTTGAGTTTGTGGCAAAGACTCAATTCCTTTGACTGAAAATAGGTTTAACAGACAGAGTGTACATATCCCAGTCTTGGGATTTTCTACTGAAGAATATGTAGCAGGATAAAAGGATGGCCATTGTGGAAATATTTGTCAGAAATCATTTAAATATGATTTTAAGCCTAGTCCTGTTCTCAGGAGAGATGTATTCCCTGAAAATGATATTTCACATCACATTTAAGATCGTCTTTGAATTATCGTTCTTATTGTGTGTACACTGTACCTGTACAACCATATACTGTCTTGAGAGAGCTATCCCTGCCAAATCCGTCCTGTGTCTGTAGGTTAACCAACTTCTCCGCAACCAGGAGAACCAGAGAGGAGAAACCTCAAGGTCGTCTTCTATGATGATTGCATGGTCGGAGATAGAGTTAGGAGTCCAGCTCTCGAACCAGGCAGCTCTTAAGCCGTGGTTTTTAGAAAATATTTTTGGTTTTACTGTTCCACGGCCCGGGGGGAGAGAATAATTCTTCGCTATGTTTACACAATCATCATAAAACCAACCTAGACTTTAAAAATGTATTATTGAAAGATTAAAATATCCGAAATAAATCTTTTCAAGTTTCAGAAACAGTAAAAGGAAAACTAACCAAAGGCTGTATTAGTGACATTTGGAAACTGGGGTAATCCATTAAAGGGACTATAAGCGTAATTTCAAGTGACCCTCCATGCAAAGATGGCAAGGCCCGATTTACAACGGCACCCTTAAAAGCTTTGTCTTGTCAAGTATTGAAAAGCAATGGAGAAAGTCACAGAAATAAAGCTTTTTTGAGTCGAAAAAAAACTTCGTTATCTTCCATAGTTTTGATCAGTTTAAGGTTTCAAGGTTACCGATATAAAAAGGGCATTTCATCTTTGCATGGTGGCTTAATTAAAATCATATACTTACTGCAGTCCCTTTTAGAAGCATAAGGAATTTAACACACCCAGACTGATAAAACTACAGCTACAGGGTTACCCACAAAAGATGAAGCGTCAGAAACGATCGTGCAGAATTAATTTCTTCTTTTTCTAGCATTCTCGGTTCCCAGCAAGGTTGTTTAATAATAAGGTTGGTTAAGCTCTCGATGCGCTCCAATTTACGGAAAATGTCGTCTTCTAAGATAGATAGATAAATACCTAATATGACTTCACTGATTATAGAGACGAGAGTGACATCATATTAGGTTTTTATCCAGCTATCTTAGAAGACGACATTTTCCCTACATTAGAGCGCATCGAGAGGAACCCGACTTATTATACAACCTTGGTTCCCAGTACCTGTTTCTATCTTTGCCTGATCACTTAATGTCACTAAAAAACTTAATTTAGCCAAAAAGTCAAAATTAAATTATTAAACCTTCTTTTATACATATTAAATATGGCCAGGTTTAATTCATTTTGTCCTGTGTTGGTATCCCTGTACTAAAGGTTTTATTTTGTTCAAGACGACATTTAAAACCATAACTAAATGCTTTTGCCACTGATTATTTGAAAACTATCTATAAATATCTAATGCTAATAAACACAAAAGGGTAAATAGTCAAAAGTCCTGGAAGTAATAAAACTTCGACAGCGCTTGGGATAATCTATGATTTAATAAGGAAATAAAGAAATTAATAATTATATAACCTTGAGACTTATCCACATGTATCTCCAGGTTGAGTTTATCCTCAGAAAACTCGAAAAAGGTTTTATCAATGCTATCCAGCAACCTTCGGAGAGACTCAGGACGATTCATTGTTAAGATTATCACAGTCAGGTTAAACCTAGAGCTTCTCTCCAGTTGAGAGAGCTGAGACAGGTTCCTCCAGGGAACCTCATCGTTTAATAAAGTATTGTCTCCGTTCCAGGTCAACAAATCCGTAGTTCCAGGACTTATCTCCAGGTTCAGAATAAATAATAATGTAAACACAGTAGTATCCCGGAGCACCATATCAAACCGACACTGAGAGTTTGTAGTATGTTTAGAGGTAAAGATATAGATATAGATAGATAGATAAACTTACCTGAACCTTACGTGGTAGACTTGAATTGTGTGCAAAGAGCGAAACCAGGTTCAGGAGTCGGAACGCGTCTTTGCAATAAGAGCAGAGATTCAGAAGTAAATGGGAAATCGAGAGTTAAATTGATTAAGTAAGTGTAAGGAGTGGAATAGATTGGATGCGAAAATTTCACTTAAAAGTAACAAATGCATATTATATACTCCTTTCTTCATAACCTAACTGATAACTTAAAGTTAAAATGATTTCTACAATTTGTTTCCCATTTCGCAGTGTAAACCATTACTTCGACCAGGGGCGTATATAAGCCCCAAATGTGTCCCCTGAAAAGGTAATTAAGGTTAAGGCCTCCTGGAAAAAATCCTAGGTATACGCCTCTGACGTCAAATGTCTGAAGCCGGAAATTTAAGAATTGATGAATTAAACACAGTTTGGGAAACCATTAGTTTGTACATTGCCACATGTTTCTTCGAAATAGAAAATCAAAGAATATTAAACGAAATATTTTACATGAATATTATACATAATGCGGAGCTGGAAACGGCAGGATAATTAGGACAAAAGATAACTGGGAAATAAAGGATTAGAAGGATTAGAAGGAATTGTTTAAAGGAGGATAAGGATAATAAGTAGATTAAGGGGAGAACCAGTGGGGAAAAGGGAAGATGAATAAGGATAAAAAAAACGGATTAGCCAGATGAGTAGCATAGGTAGGACAAGGAGAAAGATGAGTGAATGTTGGATGAGTAGCATAATGGGAAATGAGAATAATAAGATGCGGAGAGGAGAAGGATGATCCGGGTACAATGGTTTATAATGACGAGAAGAATTATTATGAGAATGATTAGGATTGAGAAGGTTGTGAAGGAAGGAGGTTGAGAACTGATTAATGAGTAGGTTGAGGAAGATGTCTTATTAAAGGTGAGGTGGGTAGGATGAGAAGGATGAGGTTGGAGAATGAGGAAAATAAGGATTATAAGTCGAGAATGAGGTGGGTAGAATGAGAAGGATGAGGTTGGAGAATGAGGAAGATGAGGAATGTAAGTCGAGGATTAGGTGGTTAAGTTAAGACGGATGAGGTTGGATTTTCCCAATTAAGTGGCAACTTCCCAAGTGTGCACTTTCCCAAGCGGCAACTTCGCAAGTCTGGCCTAGCTGCAGTGCTCGGCCCCAGCCTGTTCTATCGGTGGGTAGGATAAGGAGAATGAGGAAGATGAGAATTATATGGAGCATGAAAAGATCGAAGAGGGTAGGAACAGGAAGATCAGGGGATGAGGAGGATAAACTGGGTGGGATGAGTAGGAGTAGTCTCTGCTTGATTAAAAAGATTGATATAATTAATGTTGCCAAACCTTGGAATTTAAGACGTGAAAGCTGGCTGGCGTTTGCATAAATATACTGCAAAAAATTTGCATATCAGATAGCATACATTGCGTAATTTCACAACAGCAACACAGAAAAAATATTATCTTCAATAATTTACAGATTTTGTGAATGACTTCAATCTTGTAAAAATGTTTAGGGTTGAAATTTGGTAGAGCCTGTGTGGTGGATTTCTAAAGATTATCCTCCTTACTTGATGTTTATTATGCCAGGCTCTATAGCTGATATAAAAACTGGTCTTTGGTATATATATCTGTCGGATAGATGGAAACCTGATCTGTCAGTTTCATATTGGATTCCACAGGGAGAAGTAATATAAGAAATGGCTGCCAAGGGTAGAACTATGTAAGCTCGGATCTAACCTTCTTCATCCGCACAGACCCCCCGGCCCTCCTCACCACTCCGGCATAAACCCCTTTATCAGCAACAAAATCAATTTGAATCCTATTTCAGTTCTCTTACCCACAACAATTCTTAATTTTTTTCTACATATTTTTCAATACTTTGTCCGACCAAACCCTCACCTCGGTTCACACAGTTTTGAAAACAAATTATTTAGATCGCGCCAAGTGTAAAGTGTATCAAGAATATAGTTTAGACCTAAGCATCCTTCACTGTTATTTTTTAATCCTTGCTTTGACGATTACAAAGCTTCAAAGCGCATGATGATTGAGATTGAAGAATTAAGTTTAAAGTGGCATACATTTTTTTAAATATTTTATAATGATGTTTTCATGTTTGTCTTTCTCTTTGGCCTCATTCAAATCTTTCCTTAAACCATAATTCAATTATCATCCTTCTCTCTAAACTCTGTGATAAAAATTCTGATGTCTTAATCTTCTTTTCCATAATGAATTTTAACATTAACATTCTTAAAAATATTTCCCATTTGGATTATACTGTGAAATCATGTATGATTATGAATAGTAAAGAATTCGTGGCTACAATCCTCGAGATTTGAACCCTTTTTCAAAATCTAAATATCTGGCCTTATTTTTGATGTTCTAAAATTTACAACTCCAAGCTCTCAGTTTAGCGCAATAAAAACGCATTCCAGGCGTGGAATACCTCAAACTATTCCGAACTATGAAAACATTTAATTTTATCGAAAACGAAAAAATTGTTTCACAGGGTATCGACGTAAAAAAGACTTCAATTTTTAAATTTATTAAAGGATGAGCTAAAGAGCTAGTTCAGACGAGAACATGAGAATGTGAAGCAGACGTTAAAGTTTTGTGACTTTTCTTTACATCTTTACCACGATAATCTAAAACACGGGACAATTTGTTCCTATATTTGCAAAAGTCAGGGGTGCACAAAAGAGATGGGGGGGGGGGGTACTTTCCTATATGGATAAGTAAAAACTATGGTCACGGCGGCTTAGTCCCTTCTGGAAATTCTTAACAAAGGTTTCCCCCCCCCCCTCCCCCCCGGACAAATTACTGCATACGCACGCCCCACTATCCTGCCCTGCTGTTATAAATGACAAAAAAAAATCAAGAAAATTAAGATTCTTATCATATATCTCCACATTTATGTAAATTAAAGGAGAACATATTATTTACAGGCCAAAGTGAATATTATTTCATTTTAAATAATATTTCTACTCAATATTCTTTTCTGAAGATTGTTTCTTTAAACTTTTTTCAATTTCTTTCGAGAAGTTTTTCTATTGATCTCAGAATTTTACCTTTTATTCTTTTTTTCAAGGAATTTTTTCAGTTTCAAGCAATATTTTCTGCAAACAACAAGTTTTCAAACTCTCAGGGTTTTGTTCATCATACTTTTATGTATTTTAATTTAAATATTTATATATGCAGAGCTGAAAACTTTAGAATTTTTTTAAAATCTCCATATTAAATAATGCTTGTTATCCTCTTGTTATTAATCTTCAGATTAATTAACCGATCGGGATTAAGGATATTTCATTCTAAAGTTTTCAGCTCTGGTTTCTTACTTTTCTTTGTTTATTCTAGTAAAAATTATAAATAGATACATAGATAATCACTTCTAATCTTAATAGGGTTAAAAACCTAGGCTTAAAACCCTCCATTTTAAAAGTGCTGTCAATAATTTTCTTTTAACCTTGATCATTTGAATGCTTGAATGTGAAAAACAGTTGATTTATTTGATTTGAACAAGATTACGAGGTTTCCTTCAAGCGATCAACATTTAAATCATGTAGTCAATTAAATATATTTTACAAGTAAAGAGTACAGCTCAGTTTCTTTTTAGGAGAAACGTAAACAAAGTTTAACCTACAGATATATATAAACATTAACTAAAAGGGAATGTGAGCGTAATTTATTGTGACCTTCCATTTAAAATGACAGACTTTCCCGATTTATTGTAACTACAGAAATGGTAAATTGTAACTGATGTGTTCCAAGCTGTTTTATATTCAAGGAATAAATAAAATATTTACTTTTACAGAATATAGATATTGGACATTGATTTTTTTAGATTTTCCAGGAATAAATGTAACGTCATCCGTGTTGAGTTCACACAGTGCATTAGCGTACACTCCAATTTTACGGCGATAAATTTGTGCTCCTACCAGGAACTGCAGTACACGTTATTTGTAAACATAGATATTGAAAGTTCTTGGTATATTCATATGTCAAAGCTATTCCCACAGACTACACAGACTGCTCATACACGACATACGCTCTACCTGGATAGGCTGAACAGACCTATAGTGTCCCGGCACGCTATGCTATGGTTCCATGTAATGTTTTTTTGACTAACATTTCTCGGCCAATTGTTGCATTCAGGGGTTAAGTTTTACAACTTTTAAAGAAATACTTCAACTTAAAACATAAAACATAAAGTTTATGAATATTGTTAATTTTTAAAGATTTTCCATTTCCTATTCAAAATATCCCTGAATACAGATGTCCTCTGATTGTCGTGTACAGTACTTGTACACAATAGAACATGCTGTGTAAAATATCGCATATTATAGGTGTTAATCAATCTCTGTAACTCTCTTATCTCTGTCTATTCCACAAAGGCCGGTTGTTAACTACTAAGAATGAGACTGGAGAGACGACCCAGAATTCCAAAAACTATGACGATTTGAAACTTGATTTTTTGTTTCTGCATTCAATAGAGTATTTTAATGATTTGCTAAATAATTAATCACAGAAATAAGCCGGTTTTGGCCATCAGGAAACCCTGAATGCAAGAAAACGGACCAAACAAATTCCGTACAATCGTCTCTGAAGTCTCATCCTCACCCTGTATATTATAACCATACGCAATTGTTCCTATGTAAAGTTTAGTACGAATTGTTTGCAGATGTACACAATATCATGATATCCCATGACGCATTTATTAAAATCTTAATTCTGCCCCGCCCCCCCTCAATTGACATAAAGATTTATAGAACCTTAACCTGATAAATAATCCTGTTTTTAAACAGCGTAATCCAGATTGTATCATATAATCAAATGAAGTCTTATTTGAAAAAAATACCGTAGGATAAAAAATGGGTAATTTGTTTTTGTAAAAAAATCCTATTTTTCAATTTTACGATTTCCCCTGTATTCCTGTCTCCACCTTTAAGTTCTAACTGAGATACCATGTCCAGTCTAGAATAGGACCCGGAGAGTAACCATGAATAAACCCGAATCTTGTAGAAGTGAGAGGGAGGGAGTAAAGCTGATGAACCCACATATCCAGGAGATGGAGGAGGATGTTCTTTATCATCTTGCTCTAGGATCAGGTTCTCATGATCTCAGGCAGATGTTCGGAGATGTTAGGTAAACAAATAATAATAATAATAATAATAATAATAATAATAATAATAATAATAATAATGATAATAATAATAATATTAATAATAATGATGATAATAATAGATATAAGAATAAGAATAATAATAATAATAATAATGTTTTCTTCTTCGTCTTTATATAAAGTTTTTGTTTGTTGTCTCACTCTTGTGTATAAAATAGAAACTAGAGGAGTGACAAAGTTGCAAAGTTGTAACTGTAATTCCACGTAAAATAAACGTCTGTATTGCTAAGCTTTAAGTGTTTACTCCAGGTTTGTTTGTATGGGAGGAACCCCGCATAGGATGCAGAGCTTTGCTGAATATATGGTCAAGGAATTAGGATATATTCTTCCAACAGGAACGGATCTAGTGGACATCAGTGCTAGATCACACAGGTTATAAAACACATCAAACACAACAAACGTGGAAACTGGTTAAAAACACAACAAACAGGTTTACAAACATGGAAACTGGTAACCTGGTAACAAATACAACAAAAATGTAAACTGGTTAACAAATACAACAGAAATGTAAACTGGTAACAAACACAACAAACATTGATACTGGTAACAAACACAACAAATATTGAAACTGGTAACAAAAGCAGCATACATTGAAACTAGTAACAAAAGCAACATACATTGAAACTGGTAACAAAAGCAACATACATTGAAATTAGTGACAAAAAGCAACATCCATAGAAACTAGTAACAAACACAACAAACATTGAAACTAGTAACAAAAGCAACATACATTTAAACTAGTAACAAAAGCAACATTCATTGAAACTAGTAACAAACACAACAAACATTGAAACTGGTAACAAAAGCAACATACATTGAAACTAGTAACAAAAGCAACATACATTGAAACTAGTAACAAAAGCAACATACATTGAAACTAGTAACAAAAGCAACATACATTGAAACTGGTAACAAAAGCAACATACATTGAAACTGGTAACAAAAGCAACATACATTGAAACTAGTAACAAGAGCAACATACATTTAAACTAGTAACAAAAGCAATATCCATTGAAACTAGTAACAAACACAACAAACATTGAAACTGGTAACAAACACAACAAACATTGAAACTAGTAATAAACACAAAAAAATGGGCAGTGTTAACAAGTAAACAATAAACAATACACAATACTCAGTACACAGTTCACAGATTTACAGAACACAGAAAATTCTTTGAAATTTATTTCCAAATGTCCCAAAAGATTGTAAAAAATACTATTATTTATCAAAATGTTGAATGTTCCCTTATTTAATCTATATATATAAAGTAGTAATCTCTGTTTGTCTGTCTATCTGTTTGTTTGTGTGTCCGATCATAACCCAGGAACTTCTTGACCGATTTGCCTCAAATTTTGATTGGGAAACTAGGTAGAACCACGGAAATGTAAGCTCGGTTTAAAAATTCTAAATTAAAGGGATTGAACTTTGCAGAGAAAGGTTAGTTTATAATGTATAACGATAGCTGGCTTGAAAAACAAATATTAAACATTTAAATTGGTAATTATTTTCAAAATAAAGCTGAAACCATTTAGATAAAGAAATGTTTTGAATGAATTTAACCATGACAGTTCTCGCTTAATTTAAATCTTTCTAAATATAATAAACATTCGATATCAATATCCTTTCTTACATCATTTCAATTTTCAACACTAATCCTCAATTTATTTTATAAAAACTTGAGCCAGCAGTATATCAAGCTTTTGGATTATCCCCCCCCCCCCATCCCCGGCGGAACGGAAAAGTACATAAAATGAATCATCTCCTTTTAAATTAACAAAAAATCCCTCCGTTTAAATGTTCAAAACTGGAACCAAAAAAATTTAATCTTTGAATAGATATGGAATTTCATTTTTTAAATCAGATACCAAAGAAAAGAAAATCCGTACACCGAGTTTTTTCTCAAAATAAGTTTTTAATGTTGGGCATGGCGTTGAGCCATAAGATTTTCCCAGATCTGTAATATATTATATTCTCCTGTTTAGCCCTAGGGAAATACAAAAAGGTAATGTTGCTATACCAACATTACTTGAATACCAGATAAATGTAACAATATCTTCATAAATATATATATACATTCATATATTTATTCAACTACAAAGCATGAGATATTACAAATAAGCAATCACAATTTACTATGCAGTTTGGACCCGCCTAACCAGGGTTGGTTGTTTTGAGTGGTTGGCCCGAAGTTATTTAACGATACTGAATATAATTGGTTACACATATCAATATGTTTTTGGATAGGAAAGGAGTTGATTGGAAGGAAGGAGATTGTCAGGTTATCTGTGGCAGGGTGAGATCAGAGGGATTTTTATGTAGAGATAAATTAAAATACAGGGTGTTAATGATGGTAGTTACAGAAGCAGAAATAAGCTAATAAAGTTAAATAAAGTAGTAATCTCTGTTTTTCAGTTTGTTAGTGTTTCCGATCATAACTTATGTTTAGATTAAGTGTAACGTTGTAAATCGGACATGACCCACTTTAAATGACCGGAAGGTGACATGAAATTACGTTTTCCTCACTTCATCAAAAACATTTCAAACCTAGGAGAATGAAAGCATGGTTTGCGAGCTGAATTCTCCAATATTGTTTCCTGTCACATTCTATTCTTAAAATTTTGTATTTTCAAACAATTTCTTGGGATAGATGAACAACGATTAAAGTTCTGCAGAAAAAGCAAAATTTAATAAAATTCTTATTATTGAAAAAGCCATGAACTGTAATTCAATGTTTAAAATTTAATTCCGTCAGAAAATTTGGATTTAATTACTGAAAGAGTTTAACGACCGCCCCAGAATAAAGGTTCAAAAATCGCGTGGCATAATTACGTTTGCAATTATATGTTCGCTGTAAGAACAATTGCCATAAATTACGCTTGCTAAATATTTTCCCGGATTACATTGGATTACAAATTTTTCTGAGGGGTTGCAGTCCAGAATTTTTGCCGAGCGCCGTGGCTAGGACAGGATATGGTGCCCTGATAAAAAAGAGATTTTTTTTTTACAAATTACAAACATAGCAATTGTAAGGGTAACTTATTGTACTACTTATGGAAAAAGTAATAAAATTCATTATGGAAAATGTAATTATGCCAAACCTATAGCAAATAAAACGGAGCCTTTAGTTTAATTTTCCATCCAAATAAAAGACCGTAATATAAAATGTTGAAAATTTTTTACTCGTAATAAAGAAAATAATAAAAGACAATGAACAATGGATTTGTAGGGATGTTTATTTAGTTAATCGTTTATTGACCAACCCTGTATTATTAAGTTTTCGGTAATGTTATAAAAGCTATATTTTAATACAGGGTTACCAAGGAAGACGACTGTACGGAAATAACTCAGTCTTTTCCTTAAATTCCTGAAATACCCTGTAGCTGCAAACATGTTTCTGTTTCAATCTGTGCCAGAACATATTATATACCTTCAAAAACTTAATTAGATATAAATTTAACCTTCAAATCTTAATTGTTAAGAGTTTAAGATTGTCATTAAAGTTCTCATTCTTTGTGGGTAACCCTGTACACAACTTATCACGATATAGTAATTGTGGATAAATTTTTGAACCCATTTTTACCGTTAAATGAAGATCTTTTATACGCAAAGGCTATTTGTTACGTTTTTGTTGGAATTCATGTTTTAGACATTAAAGTATAATTAAGTGTTTTACGGTATTTTCGACGAATTTTTAATTAGAGTTTAAAAATATGTCGATATTAATTGGATGAACTTCGTTGTAGTTAGTTTAAAGTGATTTATTATTTAAACGATCATTGTACATTCATTTAACATTTTGAAGAAATAACATTATTCTGAAGCATTACTGAACTAACTGTTCATATTGTTAAAAAAATAATGTCCGAATCTTATAATTATTTTGAAATACTTAACATTTTTGCAAACTCTGCAGCAAGACTGAAGCCTTGCAAAACCTCTGACGTGACATCTTCAATCAATAATTACATTTTTCCGCATCAATTCTTTAACTTAGAACCAGGAGGAAAATATAGAAAAATAAAAAAAAATTGAAATATGTTTCTAACTTTATTGCATGGCGGTATAGTCTTCAGTAAATCAATGAGTTTCACTAAAATACTGCGGATTGATTACTAACCAACCTACTAATCAGGATTGATTACTAACCAACCTACTGATCAGGATTGATTACTAACCAACCTACTAATCAGGATTGATTACAAACTATTCTACTAATCAGGATTGATTACAAACTAACCTACTAATCAGGATTGATTACTAACCAACCTACTAATCAGGATTGATTACTAACAAACCTACTAATCAGGATTGATTACAAACCAACCTACTAATCAGGATTGATTACAAACCAACCTACTGATAAGGATTGATTACAAACCAACCTACTAATCAGGATTGATTACTAACAAACCTACTAATCAGGATTGATTACAAACCAACCTACTGATCAGGATTGATTACTAACCAACCCACTGATCAGAATTGATTACTATAAACCCACCTGCTAATCAGAATTCATTACTAACCAACCTACTGATCAGGATTGATTAATGATTACTAACCTATCAACTGATCAGGATTTATTACTAACCAACCTACTGATCAGGATTGATTACTAGCCAACCCACTGATCAGGATTGATTACTAGCCAACCTACTAATCAGGATTGATTATTAACCAACCTACTGATCAGGATTGATTACTAACCAACCTACTAATCAGGATTAATTACTAACCAACCTACTGATCAGGATTAATTACAAACCAACCTACTGATCAGGATTGATTACTAACCAACGTACTAATCAGGATTAATTACTAACCAACCTACTGATCAGGACTGATTACTAACCAACCTACTGATCAGGATTGATTACTAACCTTTCAACTGATCAGGATTGGAACATGTGGAGGGATTGGACTGCCTCCAGGTAGTGTTGTAGTTACAGAGGAAGCATTTGATGGTCAACTTCGCCCTGTTCTAGACACGGTTAGTAATCTAGTAACCTAGTAATCTATTAATCTAGTAATCTAGTAATTTAGTAATCTAGTAATCTAGTAATCTAGTAATCTAGTAATCTAGTAATCTAGTAATTTAGTAATCTAGTAATCTAGTAATCTAGTTATTTAAACACTAAAGATCACGATTTTAAAACTTATATCTGTGTTAGAAGCCGTTATCTTAAGTTTAACGATACATTTTGGAAATGGTGGGACTGGGGCTATTTTGTGATCATTGATTCAGACATGCCGAATGCCGCAGGCTATGTCAAAGTTCAAAGACGATTTTGAAGTGTTAAATCAGTTTAAACTATTCCGGTTTTTTAGAAAAAGGACTGTGCATAACTTTTAGTATGTAAGTTTACTCTTATTTTTTATGACTTTAATTACCCTAAAACGGATTCCAAAACTTAAAAAAATAACTGATTTTCTTAATATTTTTCGTATTTTCATGTAAAATAAATTTGTATAAATATTTAAAAGATCTCAGATGATTTCCCTTGATTAAAAGAATTGATTAAAAGAATGCTTAGAAAACAAAAATATTTATCAAGTTAAACAAAGAAAAATATTTTGTTGGGAATAAATGGATAAAAAACATTAGATTTGAGAAATCATTGATAAATTTGCGCAGTATTCATTAGAAAACATTATTTCAAAATATAAAAATTGTATTACATACAGTGAAACCCTTAATAACGAATACATCGGTAGAATTTATCAAATGTCGTCCTGTTTAATTCACGAAATATGACTTGTTGTCTTTTCAGAAGAATTCAAATCTTTATATATAATTAGAAGAGGTTTATCAGAGATTGAATTAGAAAAGAATTTGTTTAGAAAAAAATTAGCTTTTTGAAAATGTTCAAAATCCATCAATGTATACAGAAAAATTCCTTGAGTTTGTTTGAGTACGAAGAAGACATGGCAAACCGAAAAGCAAAGTTTAAAGAGTAAAATTGTTACTAGAAAGATTTCAATATTTTCCCTCCTTTTCAAATAAGTCGAAACATTCAGATTTTTAAAAATCTGAATGTATCATTTAAAATGTAACACAATTAGATCTTTCTTTGAATTTTATGATCAGAAACATACAAATTAATTTTTAAGTATATTTTTTGGGGTCTTTCTGTATTTGAATATCATACATGAGTTCAGATTTCCTCCAAAGCTCCCCATGTACTATAGACTACTGTATAAAGTTTAGAAAAGTTTGTTGCTCTGTTCTTGTTTTCTACAGAGAGTAAAAACTTCTGGGACTAATAGCTTTCAAGTCTGTTCGTGATTATTCTTCGGTAAAAGATAGGAGAAATAGGAGAAAAAGGGAAAATAGAAGAAATAGGAGAAGTAGGAGGATATGAGAAAAAGGAGAAATAGGGAAAAAATTGGTGGAATAGGAGAAATAGGAGAAATAGAAGAAATAGAAGAAATAGAAGAAATAGGAGTATTAGGAGAAATAGGAGAAATAGGAGAAATAGGAGAAATAGGAGAAATAGAAGAAAAAGGAGTAATAGGAGAAATAGGAGAAATAGAAGAAATAGGACAAATAGGAGAAATAGGAGGAATAGGAGAAATAGGGAAAAAATAGCTGGAATAGGAGAAATAGAAGAAATAGGATTAATAGGAGAAATAGGAGAAATAGGAGAAATAAGAGAAATAGGAGAAATAAGAGAAATAGAAGAAATGGGAGAAATGGGAGAAATAGGAGTAATAGGGAAATAGGAGAAAAAGGAGGAATAGGAGGAATAGGAGAAATAGGGAAAACATAGCTGGAATAGGAGAAATAGAAGAAATAGGAGTAATATGAGAAATAGGAGAAATAGGATAAATAGGATAAATAAGAGAAATAGGAGAAATAGGAGAAATAGGAGAAATGGGAGAAATAGGAGAAATAGGTGAAATAGGAGTAATAGAAGAAATAGGAGAAATAAGAGAAATAGGAGAAAAAGGAGAAGCAAGAAAAAGAGGAGAAATAGGAGAAAGAGGAGAAATAGGAGAAATAGGAGAAAGAGCAAAAATAGGAGAAAGAGGAGAAATAGAAGATAGAGTATAAATAGGAGAATAAGGAGAAATAGGAGACTAGTTATTGATGTATAGTCGTGTTTTATCTTAATCTCAAATTATTAAAAAACATAAAAAATACTTTAAAGTGGCTCTTTACACATTTTAACACACTTAGAGAGATGCATTTACAATGCTAACCTAGCTTTAAACCTTTGTAATAAAGGAGATTTTGTTATTTTCCTGAAAAGTGTTAAATTCTGGGAATTCCCTTCTTCGTCTTTGCATTGAACAAATCCGCAAGTCATCTTATAAAAATATTGTAAATCACAATTGAAATTATAGATCAGTTTTGCTTAGACTAAGATTTAGATGCAAATATCTAAATAGAGAGTGAACCGTCCGTTTGATAATTATAACTAACCAAGCTATTTTCATTATTATCCTGTACATTTTGACACTAATTTTCTTTATCCGGTAATAATTTGAAAGAAAGTTTAATGCGTTATTGTCCTGTCCTACCGGGTGTCCCAATAAACATGGAATTTAATATAATTATCTTAAATTTCTATGTTTTTTAACAACCAAAAGTATATCAGCTAAGATATTTACAGAATTTTTTTATCAGATTTAAATCTGAACAGAGGAACTGAATCCTTTACAATCCTTTGTATATATAAACCTTTGATATGTCAAAATTTGAAATATGGTTTCCTTATCATGTTGCAAAGATATAGACATTGGAAAATTAGATTTTGTAGCAAGTGTTTAATTCCTTTCTTAAGGATAAATGTTTCTCTGGTTAACGACGATATTCAAGTTTACCAGTGTTTATTGGAACACTGCGGTAGATTATCCTGCAGTAATGAGAACTATTATTTACTCAATCCTGTTCCAGATTATTATCATGAAGAAGTATTAATAATCATATTATTCTGTTTTGAATTATCATTAGGAAAATGTGATAATTATAATATTACAGAATGTTATCGTGAAAATGTATCCCGACCATGTTATCCTGTTTCGATTATCCTTGGTAAAGTAGTATCCCGACCATGTTATTCTGGTTAGATTTATCCTTGGAAAGGTTATATCCCGACCTTGATATCCGGTTTAGATTATTCTTGGTAAAGTAGTATCAAGACCATCCTGTTTAGATTATCCTTGGCAATGTTGTATCTCGACCATGTTATCCTGTCTAGATTATCCTTGGCAAGGTTGTATCCCGATCATGTTATCCTGTTTAGATTATCCTTGGCAAGATTATATCCCGACCTTGTTATCCTGGTTAGATTATCCTTGGCAAGGTTGTATCTCGACTATGTTATCCTGTTTAGATTATCCTTGGTAAAGTAGTATCTCGACCATGTTATCCGGTTTAGATTATCCTTGGCAAGGTTGTCTCCCGACCATGTTATCCTGTTTAGATTATCCTTAACAAGGTTGCATCACGACCTTGTTATCCTGTTTTGATTATCCTTGACAAGGTTATATTCCGACCTTGTTATCCTATTTAGATTATCCTTGGTAAAGTAGTATCTCGACCATGTTATCCTGTTTAGATTATCCTTGGCAAGGTTATATCCCGACCTTGTTATCCTGTTTAGATTATTCTTGGTAAAGTGTTATCTCGACCATCCTGTTTAGATTATCCTTGACAATGTTGTATCTCGACCATGTTATCCTGTTTAGATTATCCTTGGCAAGGTTGTATCTAGACCATCTTATCCTGTTTAGATTATCCTTGGCAAGGTTGTATCCCGACCATGTAAGCTGGATCAGAACCTTGCAGATAAATTAACCAGTATGAGTGACCCAGGTGAGCTGACCGGAGGAATTGACCTCAAAAAGTCTGATAATAAAGGTATCTCTCCCCCTCCACTAAGCATTAGGCCCTTTAAAGATCATGATATGCGAGAGTGGGGAAGGGGGGGGGTTGACTAAATTTTATCGTCATAATTAATCCAAGTATTTTATGGTACTCCAAAAATCAGAAATTTGTTGACCTCGCCTGAAAAGTATCCCTTTAAAATAAAATTTTACGGCGTCTGAGCTTTCCAAAATGCGACTTGTGTTTCTTAAAAAATGACAAAATTTTGTAAATTTTGACATTTTACTCCTATTTGATTAACTAAAACTCCGTATCAATTTCGAAGATACAAAACAGGCAGACAACATTTTATAAATACCCCCCGATATAAATTAAAGTTTACAGTGTATACCCCGACCTAATTACATTATAAACTGGCAATCAGGAACTTTTCCCAATATTCCATTATAATCCTTGTCGGCTTGTTAAAAGGGAAATTATGAAACTTTCTTTTACCATGTAGAATCAATATGGGTCCCACCAAAAAATGTACTTTTCGAAAAGGCGTATTGCATACAACTTTATCGCCTTTTGAAAGTAAAAATATCGATAGGCATTTTTCGAAATTCCGGCCCCCCCCCCCAAAAAAAAAGATTTTTAAAGTTGTCAGTTTTCAGTTTGAAAGATGAAGAAAAATCTTATGTTATAAATGTTTAGAGGATGAATTTAAGACCGTCAAAGGGAAAACTATCTCCACTGATGATTTCTATGAAGGACAGGTACAAACCCTCATGGGGGGTATAGTACCCCTCCCCCCACCCTTTCTTTATATGCAAAATTATGTTTGTTACTAAGTTGTGCCCTATCCACTGTAAGGTTGAGGGCTATGGAAGAGCTTGCATATCATAAATAGCAAAGTAATATTTTGCTCGGTTTGCATAAAACTGCAATTTAAAGATTAAACATTAAACCAATATCTGCCAATTTTTAGAATTTATGTATTCTAGAGTTTACTCGATTAGGGAACCTTCATAGAATATATTTTCAAGAGATTCAAGAGGAGAATCCAGGGAGTCCAGGGGCGGATACATGAATCCAGGGAGTCCAGGGGCGGATACATGAAATATTTAGATTTATTTCGGAACAAATATCCAGATTTAGGAACCAAGAGACGCGTCGCATGCTAATTTTTTTTTGGCTTTTCTGTTTTGTACTAGGTTTTCTTTCCCTTTTAAGTGCTATTGAGAAGCTATTCTGAAATCTCCGGGGGTGCTACGCCCCCCCCCCCCCCTGAATCTGTCAGGGGGTGCGAAGGTCCTGTAGCCCCTCCCCCTCTACCCGCCCCTAGGAGAATCTACCATTTTTTTTTCAGAGGGTATATTACAGGGTGTCCAACATTTACCTTTACGTTTCTGTTCAAATTCTCAGTTTTTTTGTGAATTTAAATATTTTTCAACTGTATTCATATTTTTTTTTGACGTTGCAGTTCAATTTTACTTAAAGTAAACGCCGACAAAAAAATGTTGCGTTATATATGATCTAGAAAAAAGAAAAATAAAGAATAAACTACGCGTTTTATTTTGAAGAATATGTGGTTCTGTGGAAAGAACTTGAATAGGGTGGTTGCTTCAATAAGTTTCTAAAACATATATTTTATAGAATTTTCTCCGGTTAAAATTCCTTTCAGATTTCTTTATTAATTAATCAGAATTGTTTTCATCTAAAAGGATCGATCACTAACATTTCAAGAATTTTTTTTTCTCTAAATTCCTAGAAGGTTTCTTATTGTTTCTAAAGAAAGTTTAGACGATAAGTGCATTGAGAAGAGGCATTTTGCTGACGCGAGGGCCACAAGGAATTAAGTCTTTGAAAAAACTCTGATTTTCTATTCTATTTTATTTGCTACCCAATGTTAGATAATTAAAACTGTGAATTCTTTTGAATCAAATTATCTACATTTAAACTATCAAAGGTTCAAACCATCAAGTTGCAAAGATGCAGGGATTAGAAAATTTGAGTTTGTGGCATTAAACTCAGTTCCTTTAAAAGATATAACTTCTTAAATGTCTTGAGATTATAACATAATATTATATATATAGGGACGTCTTGATGGAGCCATCTGCGAGTACACAGAGAAAGACAAGATGGCGTACCTGAATCACGTGTCGGATAATGGAGTCGTGAACATGGAAATGGAGGCAACTGTATTTGCGGCAATGACGCATATGGCCGGTATACGGGCAGCTGTTGTTTGTGTTACACTTCTAGATCGTCTGAAGGGTGACCAGGTGAGGAAAAGAAAATACAGGAGGATCCACACATAAAGCCTTAAACTATACTTTTTTATTTTATAATTATAGATTTAGTATTCAAGTATAAATATGACATATCTGCAAGTTTACAGCTGTAGGAAACCATGTGAATCAAAGATTGAATAATTCTGATCTGTCGTCTCTGAAGTCTCATCTTTTGTTGTAAACCCTGGTTCTTTTGTATTTAATTTTTCATTGATATAAGTCAGAATTCAAGAACTAATAGGATTGTTAGAGTAATTTCAAGTGACCCATGAAATTGTGGGTTTACTAAAAAGTGACTCTAGAGTATTTCTATTGCAGGAAGATACAAAGGAATTATCCGAATTAAACTTTTTTACCTAGAAAAACAACAATATCTTCCACATTATTGATCAGATAAAAGGTTTAAGGGTACCACTGTGAATCGGGCTTTGCCATCTTAACATGGAGGGTCGCTTAAAATTACGGTTTTAAATTCATTTCTTTAACTTAAATATTATTTGAAGGTTAAGGTTGAAATGAATACTAGATAAGTTTTAACGGATTAGCTGCATCAAGACATGCAATAAAGAAAACTTAAATATCTCCTTTTAATGAAGAATTCTATTCTGCCATGGTATTTTCAAGGTTAGTTTATGTCGTTTCCCTTAATTGCTTCTTATATTGCAGGTCCTCACTCCGAAAGAAGAATTGATTGCTTGGCAGGAAAGACCGCAGAAAATCGTTGCAAGGTAGTGTCGCTAATTTATTCAGTTTTCTTGCTACAGAACCAGTTTTAAAGTTTCTTCTTCGTAAAAAAGTTCAATATTTATTATTGGAATTCTTTGATGTTTAAATTCTACGAACTAAAGTGCCCGGCGTTGCCCGTGGAATAAAAAATCGATTGAAAAAAAAATTAGATTATTGAAAAAAAAATATTTTGAATTTATTTAGCCTTTCATACCTCCAGAGTGTCCTTGGATTTCCTCTAAAAATTTCAGCTAATTTGGTACAACCGTTTGGCCAGCCATAACCAATATATTTATGTATATATGAGCGAAGAATAGTTGAGACAAGAATTTCATCAGTTGATTTTTGTTTAAATATTTTTTTAAGTAGTTTCAATGGACATTGAAATTTGAAGTTATGTCTAAGGTCGACTTTTGTAATTTGTTGTCTTAGCGTTTTTATATGATCGAAACCTGGTGCTAAATGTTAGATTAGACGAAATATGATGGTTAATCTATATATAAATTTGGCTTGTCTGTCTGTCAAAACGGCTGAACCGATCGGGCCCAAATTTTTTGCGGGACATCTAGGGACCCCAGGGAAGGTTTATGAATGATCGAAATTAAAAAAAAATTGCGTTTTAAAGTTTTTTATTTTTGTAAAATTTTGAAATGCGCGAAAAAATATTAAGAAATCCGCAAACTTTTTGTTTGTTTTTGTTTTATACTGTACAACGAGAAGATGCTCACAGATAAAGCCACAATTATAAGTTTAAATATAAGATGGGCGCGAAGCGCCCTAAAAGCCTAGTGTTTTAAAATTTGACTAGACGAATGGTTTGTTAAAACGATTTATCATCGAAAAATGGTGGATAATGGTTAATAGGACTATCACTTCGAAGTTAGAACATTCGTCGGATTGATATGTAAAACCATGTTTCCGCACAACATATATCATTCATACGTGTGAACAAGTCACCTATATATAAATTTGGCTTGTCTGTCTGTTTGTTTGTATCCAATAAACGTCAAAACGGCTAAACCGATCGTGCCCAAATTTTTTGTTGGACATCACGTGACCACAGGAAAGGTTTATGAATTTGATAAAATTAAAAAAAAAAATGTGTTTAAAAGGTTTTTAATTTTGTAAAAAAAATTTAATTCTTAAAAATCCGCGAATTGTTTTTTAAAAATCCGCAAAATTTTTTCTTCTTTGTTTTAAAAGGTAAACAAAAAGAAAATATTCACAATTTAAATAGAAGATGGGCGCGAAGTGCCCTAAAAGCCTAGTAATGTTTTATTTCTATACTTTTTAACTGTAACGTTGGGAAAAATGTTTGAGTTTTGTTTAAAAAAAGTATATCCTTTATAAAACAGTTATAAAAGGTATATCCTGTATAAAACAGTTATAAAAGGTATACCCTGTATATAACAGTTATAAAAGGTATATCCTGTATATAACAGTTATAAAAGGTAATGATGGAAAGGATCTAGCTGTTAGTTGATACATGAAAGGATTTAATGATTTGATTGTTTTGGTTAAAAAACTTACGCATCAAACACTATAGAGTAGACACAAGGTTTAAATCAAGATGTATCATAATTTATTGAAAAGACATCGTTCATCAGTTTTGGATTGAGCACCCTTTCTTAAACACACCTGTATTATTTTGAGACATCCAATATTTTAAACACTCTGCTCTTTAGCTCCCTGCAATTTCAAAAACTCTATTACCACTTTATTACCGGTTTTGCTTTGTGACCTCGTAGCTTCACTAGTTTTGATCTTACGTCCTTGTATAGAGAAAAGCTAATTCATTTAGAAATTTAAAATTTAATTATTCTTCTTAAACGCTGTTTGCAGCATAAGAAGTTACAGATTAAAGAAACATGTAAGATTTCAATCTAACATAAAATTTACTTGAGTTTGAAGTGAAATCCTGTATTCTAGATTTATCCTGTCTGAGCTGAGTATGGAAGAACGCCAAGCTGCTACCCCTACCATGAGTAAACTAGCCAGGATCAGTTCAAACCTATTCGCAAAATCATATTCTTGCTTCGAGGATGCATAACTCTGATGCTTGTTAGGTGAATATAATATAAAAATCATCGAACCTGGATCAGTTCGTCCTTTAATTATACTCATGTAGTGGATAGTTATTTTATAGAATAAGAATAAACATTTATAAAGAAAAATATGTATGACTGAAAATCTTAAAAGTAAACTAATTTTACAAATATTGTATATTTGGACAGTCCGAACTTTTTCAATCCGTTTTTTAACGATTATAGAAAATAATTTAAACTAATAACTGATCTTTCAGTTTGTTTGGTCAGTCAAATTTTACATTGTAAAAGGTCGATTTTACTAATATTCACTACATTCACAGTTAACATAATTCCAGTTTGTTATACTACTATCTAATAAGAGGGTTTGGCGACTGAATTTCAGAAAATACTGATGTTGACATTTAAAAACATATTAGTTAATGCCTTTTATGCAATCTAAACGATAAAAATTGACGTTTGACATGAATATAACAAAAATAAATAGATATTCCAGTTCAAGTTCATCGAAAATTTGAAATTTTAATGATGAAGTGTTCATTGTACATGTAACTTCCTTGTTTTTATAGTAAAAAGGTTTTATACAATTTTTTTTAGCAATTTAGTCCTTACATTCCAAATGCGTTAAGAAACAAAATCCCAAGAAACTATAGCAAAGTTGTATCGTGTTATTCTTATTTTTATCCAAAAAATTTCCAATAGATTTTTTTCTTTCATGAATATTGATGTTTTTATTTATTACTGTATGCGCAACAGGATGAGATGAGATGCCAGGTTTTACTTGAAGTATTGTTTATATAAACGACAAGGTTGGCAGGATATATATTTGATGAGAGGGAATGCAAGGATGGATAAAAAATGAGTAGTATTCTGTTTATCTGGCAGTATACAACACCAGATACAATCAAATATCCAGTTTCAACCAGAATCTGGAGGAGGGAAGGCAGGCCGCTGCCAGCCATATAATTTCTACATTATTATTTGTTTCTTCGAACATTTGTAGTCGGTTTAATAGGATTTTTTTTGAGGGAACAATTTTAACCCCTGCACTGACTGGCCTTAAACAGGGGTAGGGAGAGGGTGCAGAGCATCCATGAGCCCTGCAAACTGACCTCCGGAGCCTCATAATTGGCAGAATGACCTCCAAGTCAATTCCTAGCCAATTAAAATCGTCTCCGAGCCTCATGTTACATCATCCAAGCTTCCCAACTTTGTCTTCACTTCCGATATCCTTTAACAAATTTTTGGCTTTTACAGTCACCAAAAGCATTTTTTTCTCGAAAAATCTCTATTTCTTATTGGATATCGGATTGCTGAACGTAAAGACAGAGTTGGGGAGCCTGGCAGACTTAGCATGAGGCTTGGAGACGATTTTGATTGGCTAGGAGGCTATTGTGCGAATCATGAGGCTCCAGAGGTCAGAGGTCCAGGGCTCATGGATGCTTATCACCCCCTCCCTCAATGGGGTCGTTAATGGGAAATATTCAGACCATCAAGAGAGATACGATAGGAATATATTCTTTAAAATAGTTCCACAGATGTTGAAACTACAGGGTTTACTGCGTAAAATTCATAAATAAATAAATGATCAACCATCATTCCGTAAAAATCAAGGCCGAGACCCCTTCAAAAACCGGCAAAGGACGGAAATTAATGTGTATCCGATGAATGACACAAGTCTAGTGTCAATCGTGACATCAGGGGAATCAGGGTCTAGGCCAGTGACCGAAGCCGGCTCCCCACTGCACACTAACAGTCCCCTAGATTAGTCCAAGTCCATTTTTTTTGCACATTTTGGGTAGTAGGGAGAAAACCTCCGGCCAACATAATCCTCCCAGATTTGCTATGCAGCACCGAGCCTCCGCTATTCAGTACCGCTTAAATCAAAGATTTTTAACAAATCAAATCGAATTAGTTTATAATTTTTTAAAATATCTTCCTTTCTGCGTAAAAAACTTTTGAAGTTATTGTATGAAATTTGTACTGCAAAGAAAATCTGGGAGGCTCATGGCGGTTCCCTCCCACTTCTGTAAGGGAGGGAACCCCCGGACGCCATGAGCCTCTGCTATGCAGACATGACCCTCACAGATTTGCTAGACAGATCGAGACTACGCTATACAGTAAATGAGCCTCCGCTATACAGAATAGCCTCCTTAAAACTCTTGGTTTTTAAATGTAGAAAGAATTTTTTGTATTTTTTTCGACACAGTGGAATAAACAGTTTATCAAAGAGATCAGAAGCATTAATCCACTACTATAAAAAGTGACTGATTATGACTAGTAAAGTGGTTTTTAAAACTTGAAATATTTTTTACGCAAAAATGAAAACATTTAGAGAACATTTTTTGACTGAAGTAAAATTTTTGTGCCACTATGTTAAACAAATGAAAAAAATCTTTATTATATGTTAAAATCAAGAATTATATGGAAGCTTGGTCAGCCTAGCAAATATGGGAGGCTCGTGTCTGCATGGCGTCCGGGGGTTTATACTCCCTCCTTCTGGGTCAGATAAAGTAAAAATTGTTAAGCTAAACATTAGGTAATATTTCTAGAATCCCCCGTCACGGCATATTAGAGGTCCTGTGGTTGTCTTCGAGCCTTATCTTTTGAACCCATTTTCACCCCTTAAATTTTTGAATTTTCTTTTTTAACTCTTTTGTTCAACTATAAATTTCAAAGTATTAATTCCTGTTGGTCTGTCCGATTTAGATTTGGGAACTCGGGAATGTTCTTGGCTTGGTTTAAAAATTCAAAGTTGAGTGGGTGGACTTTTATAGATAATTTAGTTTCCAGGCAATGCTGGGTTCCAAAGCTACTTATACAATATTCATATGTATCTTTTACAGATTTAGAATTCGAGATTAAATTATGACTGGAATTATGTCCTAGTAAACACTCCTTAAAAAATGACTTGGCAAGAATAATTTAAAAAATTGATCTTAACATTTTTTCTTCTCCTTGGATCGTCAAACTTAGTAAATACAGTTACAAAGGCTGCATCCAAAGTATTTCCATACAGCGTACTGCTGGCCGAAAAGAACTAATCAAGTATATCCGCCTAAATATCAGCATATTTCCAATTGTGTCGAGTACCAAAACCGATTCAAGGTCCTGATCCTTAGCTATTTTAACCTAAATGATCAACTTTTAAAATTTTATAACGTGTTTATATAATGGTAATTCTGAATTAGAAATATTTACTGAATCTATTAGTTTATCCTTTAAACGGAACTACAGAAGTGTCAGTTGGGTGTAAAATAATAAAACTAGCCGTATAATAATATATTTCATAAAAACTAGGGGGTAAATATTATCAAGTAAGGGGGGGTAATCATATCACAAAATAGTTTTCTCTTTTGTCGTATTTCAAGTGCGTATCTGGAGAAAGAATAATCTCCTGACAGTGTACACAGCAAGAGAATAAAGAAAATGAACTGGTTTGGAACAGGATAATCTAAACATGTGAAACCAAGGAAATAATATTGACCATTGTCGTAACTATCTTAATGTCTAAAATTTTGATGAGTATAAAGACCCGACTCGGAATATATTATCCATTTTAACTGTACACTGTACACAGGGTTATAGGTATGCATTCGCGGAATAGAACAGTACAGTATACATTTACAAAGTTACAATCGTTTATTATCGTACACAAAATATTGGATAGCTAGGTTCACTTGAAATTTCAATTTATCATTTAGTCCAACTGAACTGGAAGAATTATTTAAGATTTAATCTCATTGTTCAGTGTTCACTCTTCTATATATATTAGTTCAGTTCAGAACCCGGAGCTGAACACAAACATTGTGTTAATCCCTTCGAACGGAAGGTCAACAGGATTAAACATTAACTTATAGACGTAACATGGCGCTATCACACATGGGGATATGATCGACGGGTGTAAACAAGGTTTAGGATCACAAAGGTATAAGTTTAAGTGTGTTACAGTGATAACCAACTAACAGCTGAATGATGCGTGTTTTCGTCATATCGTCTTTCATCCTTTATTATTATAACTCTTAAATTTCTAAGAATATGCCCTGAGGCCGAATTTATAGAATTTGAGCCGCAGCAGTTTGAATTTAAGCCGGCGTTCAATTGAAACCGGTTTTGTGGGATTTGAGATTCATTAAATTCGGACACTGAACATTTTTAAAAGCTACAAATACACAACCCTAAACTCTATTTAAGAGAAAGCGGGAAGACGACAATTAATTTTGTTTGTATTGGTTGCCACTGTTTAATATTAACGAGTATAAAGTGTGGGAGAGGATTCTGGCCGGTTTAGCAGTAGATTGAGCAGAATGTTGTCAAGGATGCATATGTAGTGAGAAGTATAGCAGTCTCTTGTTGGACCAACACACAGGAGGAATATTGTCAAGGCATAGACAAGGTATTGTCAATGTGAACTAAAGAAACAGGAGGAGGGAGAAATCTTTTCTTGATCAAACCCATTCCATGTCATGACTCTTGTTCTCCGTTCCTTGTTGTGGTTTCGGAAAGGTTTCCTGAGATACATGAGCTGACCCCGCTAGTAGAATGTTGATTACTAGCTTTAGATATAGTGGAAAATCCAGACTGTGAAGACTGTAGACTAGTCATAGATCCTTTGTAGTCTAGACTGTTGAGAACCTCGTAGTAGAACATAACCTTAGCTTTATGTTGAGGATGTGTGATGGTATCCCACATATCCTGATTCCCAGCCACTATCTTGTCAAAGTAGCTCCAGTGTAGAATATAGCTCCCAACATATTGGGTCACGTGACTCCCCTAAACATAAAACAAATTAAGGACTGGTGTAAGGGAAAGAGAACCTGGGAAAAGTTAAATAGATTTTTCTAGAAAACTTTCACAGATAATTATGACTTGACACAAATAGTCTTCCATGTACTCCACCCCCACCTCCTCCCAAACCTAAACACACTAAAGAGGATATATATCTAGAATACCTGATATATAACAGAGTAAAGAGGACATTTAATATATCTAGAATACCTGATATACAACACACTAAAGAGGATATATACCTAGAGTGCCTGATATATAACACACTAAAGAGGATAAATATCTAGAATACCTGATATACAACACACTAAAAAGGATATATATCTAGAGTGCCTGATATATAACACACTAAAGAGGACATAATATATATCTAGAATACCTGATATACAACACACTAAAGAGGATATATATCTAGAGTGCCTGATATACAACACACTAAAGAGGACATATAATATATCTAGAATACCTGATATATAACACACTAAAGAGGATATATAATATATCTAGAATACCGATGAAAACTGTATACATGGTTAAGTGAAGTAGGTTAGTGTGGTTAATACAAGTATATAGAATATAGATTAAATTAGATTAAGGATACTACTCAACAAGATAACATTTTAATCAAATATACAAGTGACGATTTGGGCAAGTAAAAAATATTTTCTAAATAATTCTTCTCAAGGACAAATTTAAAATACAGGTTCACGTCCTTTCCTCTCAACATTCCAACATCAGAATTCTTTGTGCGAGACATAAAATTTAATTTAATAAATATTCGACAAAAGAGGATTTTGTTCGCGAAACATTTAAATTTTTCAAGTTGAATACTAGATTTAATATTTAACCAACCTGAATACTTTCTCCGTCATGACAGACAATAGGAGCTTCGACCCGGAAATAGTCTGTTCCTTCCTTCCAACCCCGTCCTATGGACGTAAACTGCTCAGGGTCTGTGTTAACACACATATTGAATGCTGCAGAGCTGGGTTGATTAGCTGATGAGAGTTTCTTGTTGAGCAAAGGATTCTTGGTTCGGAATACAGAGAAGACGACGTCATGTCGCATCACGTCGAAGTCCCAGGTGATGACGGACCCCTTGTCCGTGTTCTGGATCAGGACCTCGTGGGCCTGCAAATTAAATTAAGACTGTAATTAATTATATTCAAAAACAAGAGTACAAAAACTTGCAAACAGAGATTGAATATTTTGAATGTGAGAAAGAAGATGAGATTGAAGAAAATAAAAATGAAGAAGATAAAAATAATTAAAGAAGATGATTAGTGGAATACTCAATGTAGGGAATAAAATGAATGATAGAAAGAAGTCCCATTCAAAAGCTCCCCGCACATTAATTGTAGAATATTTTACTTATTATTAAATGCTCAAATCTTTTTGGACACGTCAAACTAAAGTAAAATGCAAGTAAGATTGACACTTAAATGTTTTTGATCATAACTTCTGTTATTGAAGAGCTATTGAAAAGAACAAAAATGTTTTGAATTTATAATATGTAACCGAATAAATTAGCTTTTCTTACACTTGTGCGTAAAATCAGAACTAGATGAGCAACGGAGTCACAAAGCTGTGACAGTAATGTCAATTGAAATTGACATTCGCCTTCTGGTTAGTTTGCAGTGGTGAGCATACAATTATGGTTGATTTGAAATTAATGATTGGATGAATTTAATTGGTTGAGTATGAAAAAACAAAAAAAAATGAAAATCTTATTAACTACTAGCTGAAGGGTCCGGAGTTGCCCGTGAAAAAGTTGCCTACAACACACCCCGGCCACCCTTGAGTGTCCACAAAAATTTTCAGCCCATTCAGTCCAGCCGTTTGGCCGGCTATAGGCAACATATATATGAAAGTCTTGTTTTGTTTTATAGTTTTTAATTACAAAATACTTTTGAACAAAATATTTAACCATAATTATTTCAATGTGCTTTTCTAGTGGTCATTGGTCAAAAAAAAATTCTAAACCTATTTTTAGTTTAATTTTTATTAGATCAATTCCTTAGCGATTTAATTTTTGATTAAATGTAAAAATAGTATAAAGAAAGAAATGAGCTTGATAATGCGGGCCAGCCGAGTTTAATTTAGTTTTTAAAAGAAAATATTGTACAAGAGGGAAAAAATAATTTAAAGGGACAACCGGCCATATAAGGTAGTTAAACGGAGTATGCAGTGTTGTGGACAAATTCTTTAGGATTCATTTGAGACATATAAAACTTTTCCACGGTGTATAATTACTGTGCATAGTCGACGTTCAAAACCATGAATTTGGGTGGGTACGTTTTCAGTATCGTTTTTTTTTAATTATTAAATAACGACGACGACAAATAAAGTAAAAATTATACAGTTAACTAATTAGATGGTTAGGAACATATTTCTCAAAAGAAATTTGTCCATAAATCAATGCTAGAATCAATTATTTCGTTTTCATCATTACATTGAATTTCTTTTTTTCTTTCAATTTATTTGCAGATTTCTACAAATTCTTCAAATGTCGTCTTTTCAATAATAATTCTAGAAAACCTACAGAAAATCTTTGTGAATAATAAGAAACTAGAATAATGAGAAAATAGAAACTATTAATTGAACAAAATTTTCTTTTTTTCGATGATAAGATTAATTTTTATTTTCTCGAACCTGTCCTAAACAACTAATTAGTTTACTGTAAAATTTTGTTTACATTTTTTGTCGTCGTTATTTAATAATTCAAAAAAAAAACAATTCTGAAAACGTATCCACCCAAAAGTACGATTTTGAACGTCGACTTTGCGCTCAAACTCAGGATTTACAGATCTTTAAAAAGTTTTATATGTCGCAAATGAATCCTAAAGAATTTGTACACAACACTGCATACTCAGTTCAACTACCTTACATAGCCGGTCTGTCCCTTTACTGATTAAAATTGTTGAGTAAATATTTCCCGTGAAGTGTGTTAGTGAGTACTTGGTACTTTCTTAATTATATCCTTACACTCGATTCCAAACCCAAGGCCACAGATAAAACTTTTATTAACAGAGGCATATAACTAGTGCTCGCAAACATTGTTAAAGGCATTGAAAACCTCTATAAAAAACTGAAGGGGGCCAAAGGAGTACTTTTGAGAAAATAAATAAGCTTGAGACTCAAGAGTTCCTAAGCTTGTAAGCTGAAAATCAAATTTTCATCCACCCCCCCCCCCACAAAAATACAAAACTTAGCTAATAATAAAAATGTTTAATAATATTTAAAGTCCTAAAATAGGAGAACCCAATCTGACGATAAACCGATTCTCTTCCGGTAAATGATTATTTGCATAGCAAGTGAAGAGAATAAACTGTTCCCTATTCACCTGTCCTTTATGTAGAGATATAGAATGGTAGCATGAATTATCTAGTAGATGAGGACCAGGAGATTGATCTTTCTCAAACTCTTGAGGAGACATGTAGAAGCTCTTAGGTACTAGTCCACCCTCAGGTATACCTGGATACAGGAGATATTACTTGAAGGGACTGTAAGCGTAATTTCAAATGACCCTCCCTGCAAAGATGGTAATGCCAGATTAAAATCTTTGTCTGATCAAGTATAAATAAGAACCGCATTTCCAGCTTATAAGAAACAATGAAGAAATTCCCAGAAATAAACAAAGAAAACCGACATTATCTTCCAAATCTTTTTATCAGATTAAGGTTTGGGGTACTGATATGAATCAGGCATTGCTATCTTTTAATGAAGGGTCGCTTAGAAAACACTTACAGTCCCTTTAATTAGATTTATACAAAACTAGATTTATACAAAACATAGATTATTAAAGGGACTGATGACGAAAGTGAACCTCCATTTAATTTATAAAAAGAGTAATTTTCAAATTCAGCTTCTCAAAAAATGTGACTTAAATTTATTCAGCAGACACAAGGAAGAAACTTGCCAGATTTGGTCTCTTTTCAAAATAGATAAATGGCGATATCTTCTTCATTGTTAATCAGGTTTCATGATTACTCAAATAAAGGTTTAATGGTGGGGCTAGGGTTTCCGATATTTTTTCTAATGATTACTTCTATACTTCTATACATATATATATATATTAGCTAACAAGGATAAATGATAAATAGGTTCTAGACTGTAATCTAACAAATAACCATAATACAAGAATATTATCCTAGTTTTATATAATATCTTCATTTCTATTCAGAGCTTGGACCTGTAAAATTTGGATTCACTGTCCTAGCTTACTTATTCAAGTAGACGACAGATTTGCTTTTGTTTTGGTTTATTAGAGCTCTCAAGAACTTAAGCTAGCTACTTGGAAATGATCTTTCGGTATTGAAGGTGTACGCAGCATCTTCTTCAGTTTATTTAATCAATTTAAATTGATATCAATACCGAGTTTTTGTATTTCTTATTTCAATAATCTTTGTGATTCTATTCTTCTCCTTAATCAAACTAATATTGATTATCAGTTTATTCACGAGAAAATCAAAATCATGAAAGATAATATTACTGATCTACCCCCCCCACCCCCATTATATCCATTATCCAACCTGTATTAGCTGTTCCACCCAACCAATCAGGAATATGTTCCTCTGGTATATAATCCCTGAGACCGCCAGGATGAAGAGCAAAGTTTTCTCCACGTCCATCCGATACTGCATAGAAGAGAAACTTGGATCTACTCGTCTCGTCTATAAGGGGACACACTAAAGTCCAGAGGATCGGGAATACTCTGGGAGCACGGATGATAAGAACGCGTCCTAGGGTCTCCGGGTAGTTGGCTTCACATATCTCGATAATATGTAACAGAGCTTTCACTCCAGGTCGCCATAAATGCCGCATATTCAAACCCTCTAAAACATTTTTATATCAATTATATTTCAAATACTAATAAACATGGGAAAGCGGGAGTTTAAGAGAAATGTTACTCGTTTTAAATTTCCCCAAAAATGGAAGAAGAATTCTAAGAAAAATTGCACAATTATAAAAGTGTCAGTATTAACAGAAAATTCTTTGTTCTTCAATCATTTAAACTTACAATGTTTACAAGACAAACTTATAACAAGTAAACATAAAAACAACGCCAATAATCAGTGCTTAAGATCCATTTAAGTTTGATGCGGATCCGGAACCAGGTCATTTCTTTAAGATTTACTGAATTTTTTTAACAAAAAATAATTTTCAAATTTTTTTTATTTTTTTTGCGGAAATTTTTATAATCTCCCTTTTTTCAAAAGTTCAGATAGATTTGGGTTTTAGGAGTAAAAAAGTTTTTTTTTTGCAGTTTTTGGTTGATATTTTACCCCTTGAATCCGGATCCATCGATCCGCATATTTTTGCGGATCCGGATCCAGGAAGCCAAAATCTTGCGGATCCAACAGTTCCGGATCCGAATCCTAAGCACTGCCAATAATATTGATTAGCGGAGAAGATCTACAAGAAGTTAAATGGACTGTAAAGCGAAATTTCTAGTGACTTTCCGTGCAAAGATGACAATGTCAAATTTTAAACACTACCCTTACAAGCTTCGTCTGATCAAGAACGAATTAGATATCCACGTTTCTGTTTATTTAAGTTTTTTATTTTTCATTCGTGGTTTCTCTGCAAAAGTGGAACAAACACATTTCCAGTAAAAAAACCGACATTATCTTCCACATTTTTGATTAGATTAAGGTTATATGGGTTCTGTGTAAATGGGGAATTGCTTACTTTGCTTGGAGGGTCAAAAAAAAAATTAATATCATTAGTAAGGTTGGGACGTATTAAATAAATAATAATGTCCAAGCTAGTATCCGAACACTCAATATTTACAAGGTTTGTAATATATTGATGTTGGTGAATCCAATATTTCTAAATGAATATTATATTAGTCTGGGTTGTGTACTAGGGTAGAGAAGGTTATGAGGTTTATAATATCAATTATTACACCAATATAGAGTAGAGGAAAAGTGTATGGAAAGGTTGTAAATATTATAAATGTTATTCACATTCACTCAGCTAATAAATATAACTTTGAATAAATAATAAATAATTAACTGTCAGCAGCTATATTATTCAAAACAATTTCTTGACCGAAGTTCAGCTTTTTAAAGTTTTCTTGATAAAACTCCTCTCAGTGCAGTGTCAATATTTTTGTAAATTAAATCTAGAAACCATGATCGATAATTTAAATAATAATAGCCCTCGACCACTTAGCTAATATTTACCTAGATCAAGAATCATATTCCAGGTCGAGATCGGTTTATTTAGTGCATGAGAAGATTCTTCACTGAGTCTTAATCCTTCCTCACAGATATGTAGGCAAAGCTTAGTCAATCCCTCTTCTCCTATACTTCGAACTATACCCTTCACGTCCATCTGTCCAAGACGTAGATGAAAGACGGGACGTCCGTCCTTGTCATAGTGAAACCAACCACCTGGAAAATAGTTCCTAACTACCGCTGGAACCTGAAATTATAAAATAAAAACTGAATGAAAAACATTGACGTCAGAATTCTTTATTTTAAATTGCAATTTCTTGGTTAACTGTTCTGACGCCGGGAATTACTGAGAAGGGGAAGTGAGAACTATTGATTAAGAAACTGGAGAGGACAGATCTAAGATGAATGGTGTTACCTGATACTCGGAAAGAATCTTGTCAACGCCGTGCTGTTTCCTCCAAATGAGGGAAGCGGAGAGCATCTCTCGAGCCTTCTCTACGTCAAAGTTTCGAGCTCGGAGAAATCTAAGAACAACGGGATCCGAGGGAGCTTTACCCTTCTGCAGTTCAGCCATACACTGCTTCAGCTGAACCAGCCTTGACTCCTGCATGGGTTCAAGTTTACCCAAGAACATCTGGATATAATCCTGCTCAAGCTTGGTCACAGGATCCTGGTTCTCATTCAACCCTGTCTCCAGGAGATCCCGGCCTTTAGCACTAGACTTACGTCGGAGCTTCTCCGTAGGATCAACTGCTTTCTCCTAAAACATATCTTATAAAACCAATGTTTGTATGAATTGACGGATTGTAATACATTCTTGTATTCTCCAGCACAATTGAGGTCACAATAAGAAATATGAAAATATTCTTCAAGTTTCAATCTAAAATAAATTGGGATTGGCAGATGGAATACAAAAACTGATTTTATTCCTTATTTCTCCAGTTTGGATTGAATTTTCTATCTGGATATTACAAGGGGTAGGCTTAGGATAAATGAACCTGGTATCTAAGACAAATGTTCCAAGAAAGAATTGTTTGCCGGGCCGGAAAGTGTAAAACTGTAATTGGATTGATTCTAACCTGGACTTCTTGTGAAGTTTCAGGAACTTGATTAATTGATTTTTCTGGTTCTGTCCAAGGTGGCACCTCGGATATTCCTTGCTCCGCAAGCATTTTAATAAAATGCTCCATAATATCTTTGCTCTTCTCGATGCTCTTGGAGTACTCCCGAATCGCAATCTTCTCCGCTGTTCCTTCAAATCCAAAGAAGTTTTTAATATCGAGCTCGGCGGACTGCTCGAAGCAGGTCCAGTCCGGGTTCTCCGGGTGTACACTGTAAACACAATACTCGTTAATCTCTACCCTGCTTTCAAAACTCTCATTCCAGGCTTCAATACGTAGAGTCCTTGCCCGGTTATCCTTAGTGTTCCTCTGCCTGAAGAGAAGGTACTCAACCCCCATAAACTTCTTGAGAAGGTAGGGAACCTCCACATTCAACTTGGCTCGCCTGTCCACCATATGGACTGCACCATCCGGGCACAGGTTCTCCTCTGAAAAATAAATATTTAGCTAAAAGAGGAGTAAGCAGTCCACTTATTTTCAGTATTGTTTGAATTTTTTTAACAAATTATTTTTTTAAATTAAAAATTTTAACAAAATTTTAAAAACTGCAGTGAATTTTCCCTGACTTGTGCGTTGTTTTAAGCTGATTTGCAGTTTCCATTTTTTCAGGAATGCAGACTCAACTAATTGAAGGTTCAGGTTCAAATTCATATATTCTTACACAGGTTGTATAAAAAAATTTCACTGCACTGAGCGGGGTTTGAAAATTCTGAGGATATTAATTGTCTAAATTCCGCCTTAATAATGACAAATGGGATAAGAAAAGTTAGATGTATACCGATTATTTTAAGTATTACTTTTTTCCACCAATCTGGATTTTGCTTTTAAACGTTGATTTTTGAATGCGAATAAAGATTTGAGAGAAAATTTCTTTAATTCGCTGAATGGCGATTCTTCACTTAGATGCTCTACTTTATGTCGTTAAAAGAAAACCAACTGAAAAAACTTTGATTTATTAAGAACGATTAGTTGACCAAATAAATCTTATCCCCAAACCTGCTGGCGTGTGATAAAACTGAATTAACATCGGTATTTCCTCCCTCCCTCCCCCATTAAACTCCACATCTCTATAAATTCCTTAGGAATCTAAGTATAGTCATGATATAAATATTTATAGTCCAATGTTATATGGCCTCTTACAGTTCAAGTTGCTACCGGGTTTTAAAGAACGTTGAAAGAAGACACGACGGTTGACAACGAAAAAAAATCTCAAAAATCCTAGAATGGAGAATGTTGGTGGGTGGAGGGGGGAGCGGGGAGTATTTAAAGCCATAAACCCTTCTATCAGGGGAAGAAATATTAGATATATCCATGAAACTGAGTAAAAATAAAATAAAGCCAATAAGTAAGATTGGTGGGGTTCTCTTTACAATTAACAGTGCTTAGCAGGAATATCATTATTACACTAGCATTAGTAATCATATATAATCCGTTTCCCTTCAATAAATCTATTTATGTATCCTAAACATAATAACTAATTTTACTAATCATATTCTTAATATGAGTATAAAAAAAACCGTCCGAAAACCGCCCAAGGCCGCCCTCCCCCCAACTGCGGTAGTTGCAACCAACAATAACCGTCTTAAAAGATTTAGAGTGAACTGACTCAGCAGAAACTATCATGAATGATGAATAATGAATATTGAAAAAACTTCAGCGTCGAATAAATTATCAGATAGTTACATAAGAAGAAAACTGTTAAAATGACTGAGGATGAAACTTGATTTATTTTTGGCGTTGAATCAAGAGTTTAAAAAAATGATTTCTATTATTTCTTTTAAAAGCTTCAAAAATTAATTATAACTCTCATTAAAGTAAAAATAAATTCCACGCATTAAATTTTCGATTTAAAGGTTTGTAAATATCTCTTCCAAGAATTTCAACATCAAACTATTACTTGCAGTTTTTCTTTAATTTGATTTGTTGAATGACGGAAACATTTCAAGATGAAATCCTAAAATTGAAAATTCACCTATAATCTCAGTCTCTTTTATGATAGGAATCATGTCGCAGGTGGGGAACCTCATCTCGTAGGCCATCATGAGGAGCTCGAAGGGGTACTTGTAGACCCTCACAGGGGATTGGTACTTCTGCACCATCTTTAGGCTTTATAAGAATCTTAGCAGAAACTATTAGTTTATCAAATTATCCATTTTGTTATTTTCATTAATAATAAAATGGTCCTGTACGGTTCACTTGGTTCACTAGATATTGGAGGAATAGCTCAGTATTGTTCGTTTACATGGGAAGCCAACCTGAAATAAAGAAAACATTGTTGAATACAAAAAGATGGATTTTTATGATTGCAAGTTAACAAAACGTCAGACAAACTCATTAGACCATTTTTCTATATAACATGGATTTTAGGAAACACACGTCGGTTTCATAAGTCTAGTTTGTTAAGGTTTAAAACTAAGGTTTGTTTACACAGAAACCAAACAGAGACTTGATGATTATTCATTATCTTGTTCTGTAAGTACAATATATATTTCTATGGACACCTTAGATAAAGTTGTAATCTCTGTTTGTCTGTTTATTGTATGTCCGATCATAACTCATGAATCCCTTTTTTAATTTGCCTCAAATTATGATTGGGGAGCATGGGAGAACCACGGGAATGTTCTTAACTTGGTTTAAGATTCTGAGTTGATTGAATTTAATTTTTATTAGGAAAAATAGCTAAAATCGTAATTTAAGACCGATCGCGGGAAAACGGCGGGAGTAACTACACCCTGGGCAAACAAAAATCTCCTAGTACTGGCATTTCCTAAAGCTAGTCCTGGATATATTTGGAAAATGATACTTCTTGTGTACATACTCTGGATACATAAAACGATGATATTCTTTATATACACACTCAAGTAACCAAGGGAATGATATGTCCTGCATATGTAAGATATACACACAAGTACATTATACACATATAGATATATAGGATTGATGAACCCTGGACTCCTATCAGACTGAATCAAAATAAATATTTATTCTGCAGGAAATTGAATAACAAGGATGTTTCATCAGCTTTACTGGGTGTCCCACAAGACTTAACAGTAGCAAGACGACTTGGATGGTCGTCTTAGATCGTATTTGCGGCATTTGTTCGTCAACCCACTTTGACATGTAATGATGTATGATTCTTGAAGCAATAACCACAAAAATCTCCTAGTCCTGGCATTTCCTAATTGTGATCGCCTTTTTGGTGCCAGAGATAATAAAAATTTCGTACCGCAAATTATCTTAAAGATCAAAGATGACCTTTAAGTCGTCTTGCTACTGTCATGTTTCGTGGGACACCCTGTACATATAAATAGTAAAGAGAGGAAAACAAATTTCAAGGATATTGCTTTAGAAAATTCTACCGAATGATATCATTGTTCCTTTTCCTTTTAAATGTTGGGGTTTTAGTCTGGGCTTGCTTTAGTATAAAAATGGCTTTTTTTTACTTGAATTACGAAGGTCCCAGCAAAACAACCAAACTTGTAAGCTAAAAAAGACGGGGATCTACCTATAAATGTGTTTAACTAGGTTGTATACCTTAAAGTTTATAAAAACTCATTAATACACTTTTTCAATTCATAACTAAGTCAAGAACTATTTCAATCGTCTCCATTAGTGAACAAAACATCAAAATTGCATTTTTTCTCATATAGATTTCTTCGTAATTTTTTCGTTTCTCTCAACGTAACGAAAGTGCAAACAATTTATAAACCTAATAATAAACCTAATTATAAACCTAATAATAAACCTAATAATAAACCTTATATAAAATGACCTTAATATATGCCCTGTATAGTGAATGAGGCCTGAATGTAAACAAATGAATAAAATATCACAATATTATATTTGCTTTGTTTAGAATAAATACACTGTGGATAAATTAATATGATGAGCCCTGAGGTCTGGATTAATAAAATATACTAGATATATAGTTCACACAATATTATATAATTCTTTCAGTTTTTGGCCATGTCAAACCCTTCTCTTACCGAAAAATATTTGTAAAAACCTTTGACTGAAGCGTTAACTGTATACGAACTATTTAAAGGACGAGTGTAGAAGTAGACAGTCCACTTCTCTGGTCACACAAAACAAAAATTAATTTTCCCGCATTTTCCTTCAAATATTTCAGGGATTTTAACGTTTAACACACACCTTGCATTCCTTTATATCTCTTACAGCCGATCCTTAAACCGGTGTAGCGTTAAATAATTCATTTATCCACTTCAAATGATTCAATCTGCTCTTAACTCTTTCTTTAGGTGAGAGGCAATTCATGGACTCTTACGGGGTTTAATACAAGATTTTGACAAACCACATTTATGGTAGATTTCGCGAGACAATTATGAAAAATTTAAGCGGGGACAAAATGTGGCTTGTTGGGACAATAAAATGGCTTGCTGGGACAATAAAGTGGCTTGTTGGGACAATAAAGTGGCTTGTTGGGACAATAAAGTGGCTTTTTGGGACAATAAAGTGGCTTTTTGGGACAATAAAGTGGCTTGTTGGGACAATAAAGTGGCTTTTTGGGACAATAAAGTGGTCACAAGGGACTAGTGATTGAATCGGGATGAGGAAAGAGAATAATTAATTTATAAAATCTTTAGAAGAAAATTTAAATTTACGTTTTAAGATAAAATCAAACTTCTCCAAAGTTCTAAAGCTTTAAAATTATTAATAACAAATTTTTAAATTGATTAAAACCGAACCAAGTAAAACTATTAAAAAAAATGCACATATATTCTTAATTAATGTTTTGAATTCTGGTTGTTACGCAAGTATTTTTTGGAACTTGAAACTTTCCTTTAATTTTTCAAATGTAACATGCTAAAAATATAACAAATGTAACATGTTAAAAATGTATCAAATGTAACATGTTAAAAATATAACAAATGTATCATGTTAAAAATGTATCAAATGTTACAGATTATCAAAGAAACAGAGTTCTTGCCTCAAACTTAAATTTCCTGATCCTTATTTCTTAGCAACCTAATGTTATTGACATGTCTTTTTCAATTTATGAAATAAAAAAGGTTGCGCATTCAAGTTGCAAAGATATAATGCGTAGAAAATATATGCATGTGGAAAGTTTTTTGATGATTTAAATTTAAATATTCTTTTTCATTATAATAAGATTAAAATAGGGTAGTATTATATTTGTTCTGTATACGCACTGTACAGTGTACAGTGATATATTAATTAAGCTTGGGACCTAATTAACAAGCTAATAATAGGGAGACTATGTTTACAGTTCTTAGAAATATATATTTACAAAATAAATACGCAGTTACAATATTTGGAATCAACTTTTTATTAACATTACAGAGAATTTAATACAAGCTAGCCTTGTACACTGTATCAGCAAAGCTTAATTGGAAGTTCTCAAAATTTTTAACTTTTTTAATTAAGAAGAGTTTGCTATTAAAAAATATTTTGTGAGACACAAAATTTCTTTCTTTATATAAAAGGTAATAAAAATTTTCTATAATCTCTATTGTCAATGAGTTTGTATGAAAAAGTATTGAACGGCAATCAGGGCTTCCAAAATGTGGTATATAGTTTCATAAAAATAAAAAAGGTTTAAAATAATTTTTCAATTGTTAGGGGTTTACTGTTCTGAAAAGTGCTTACTTTTTCTTAATTCTTCAGAAATGGCCAATATAGTAAACATTGAAAAAGTATGTTTCCATGTGATATCTGAAAATTCTAAATTTTATTTTTTATCTTTCTGACGGCGGCGATAAAATATACAAATATTAGAGGGGGGACGGGGTTAGAAGGGGGAGGGGTACTGTTTAGGCCTTGAAACTTGAAACTAACCTTCTCTCCTGATCCCTGAGGTACAGGATAGAGGAACGAAGACGAAGTTTAGCAATCTCTCTCCAGATGAATTGTCTGTGCTCAGGATGAACTATGCCAAGTCTCATCAATGAATTCTCATTCATCCGAACCAAACACTGTCCTGAACAATAATAAAGATGACGGTAATAAAGTAGGCTCATAAGCACTATATCTTAGTATCCGGATCCAAGTGTAAATTGGTTTAAATATCAACCAAAATCTACAAATCTACACTGCTTTGCTCAGCTACCTGATGAAATGCTCACATCTGGCTCATCAAAAAAAAGCTTTTTCATCATAATTTTTTCCTTTCTTTCCCATTAAATCTTCTAAGACACTGTTTAAAAAAATGGAATATACCCTAAGCACTGCTGTAAAGTATATATTGCATATACTATGTAGTAGGTACTATAGTCTAGACAATTTAAGAAGTACTTTCTGTATATATCACAGTTTAAAAACAATATAACCATGTTGAAACCATCCTTACAGGAAACAAGAAGAAAAAAGTTTATAAAAAAAGAAATAAAAAAAAACCTTATTCTGAAGTGAAACAAACTTTTGACGTCATAAAGTTATTTAGCTGAGAAGATGTTAAATTCAATGAGAACTACATAAAAGATAAGCTTCAGATCAGGATATTAAGGAAACTAAACTCTAAACTCTAAACTGAAACTGAAACTAATCTAATTTTAAATAAACCTAAACCAAACTGCAACTAAACTAAACTAAACTGAAACTGAAACTAAAATTAATACCAAACTAAACTGAAACTAAACTAGAAGTACTATAAGTACAGAAACCTATTGAAAGCATAATCTGTAATCCCTTGTTTCCCTTCTAGTTGTCCTAAACCAGGGGTTCCACATCTAAGTATGTGTGGGGTGTGTGTGTGTGTGTGTGATTGAATGCTCTTTCAATACTGTTATGAATATGTAAATNGGTGATGGATAACTATATTCTCCCTTATCAATGATCATGTAGGCCAACCAACAATAGTAAAAATAAGTATAAGGATGCTTTCTTGACCTGTCTATTAACAGCTTTTAACGCCGAGAATTCAATCCCGAGGTCAGATTTCATCGTAAGAACAATAGGGGAGCAGGATAGGGCAGAGATAATAATTTAGACAACTATTTACTAAATTTGAGGCTTAGAATTCGGATCCGCAAATTTTCAAGGACCGGATCCGGATATTGATAATTAAACTGATATGTAAGTCTAGACCTGTCAAATCTATTAGAAAAAAACCCTTAAAAATATCCTATATCCGGATGTAGGATATAGGAAATGAAGGTATGAATAAATATCTGACAGCTCATCGTTCAGGGACGGATGTATTTTATGGCCCAAAGTTTACTGTTTGTTGTATGTATGTAAAATGTAAATTTATTCAATGTTGAGATTAAATTTTACATGTTTTATCCTTTTCACACTGTCCTACTCACAGTTTAGTAATTCAAGATGTTTTTTTTTTGCAAAAAATATTTTCCCCAGATAAACTCAGTGAAGGAATAAAAAAATTGTTGGTCTAAACCGTTAAATCTGGATCATTTGAGTACAGAACAAACCTAATCCAACCCATTAAAATATCTTTCACAACAAATTATTAAAACCTTACTCAATGAGCAACAAAATTGCAAGGGTAAATAAAAAAAGGATTGCGTGAATGAGTAGAATGAGTGAGTAGGAAGTTAGAATTAAAAAAAACATATTTAAGTGGAAACTAATCTTCATTTCCGATTTCAGAGTTATGTATTGAGTTTAAGTTCTAAAACATTAAATTCTTGATTGAGTTAATGTATTCATGCATTCAAATGCATTTTCAAGGTTATTCATCACTTAAAGCTTCCCTTCCCTTCCCTTCCCAATACTCTCCATGTTTTTCCTTGAACACAAAAATGAAGAGAAAGATGGGTGTTTCATATTCCACTGTACTGTATTTGGGATCAATAAGAACTCACGGAGATGAAATTTAAACAATTTCTATGGTTACACGGAAAACTCACTACTGGACTAACAAAATTGATGGTATATGGAAACCTGAAGGAGCTAACAGCGTGTGAAGACATGATCTATATCAAGTATTAAAACAAGTTAAAGTTGGGTTCAATACTTCATCAGAACTAGCTGGATAAGAACTGATGAAACATGTGGTAAAGAACGCGCCCTATTCTAGTTACATACAGTTCATCTACAACACAGTACACAAGACATACACCAATTCTAACATTTTTTAACATTTAAATATTTCTCATCTATAGCTAAATCTTACAAAAAAAGAAAATTTTGTTTTAATATGCAAATTTAATTTAAAATTCAAAATAAAACTGAATTGAGTTGTTACAAAAATTGCAAACTAATTTATTATGTAATATGCCGCAACTCTCAGTTTTATCGCTTTTCTGAGAAAAGTACATTCAACAGAACCAAAGATAACAGCCTTGAATATTCAATTGTTGCATTAGATTATACACAGATGTTAATATAAGATTACAAGTATGAACATTAGATAACAGCTGTGAATATTAGATTACAGCTTTGAATATTCAATTGTTGTATTAGATTACACACAGATGTAAATATGAGATTACAAGTATGAATATTAGATAACAGCTGTAAATATAAGATTACAGCTTTGAATATTCAATTGTTGTATTAGATTATACACAGATGTAAATATAAGATTACAAGTATGAACATTAACAGCGGTGAATATTAGATTACAGCTTTGAATATTAGATTTGATTACAGCAGTGAATATATGATTACAGCAGTGAATATAAGATTACAACAGTGAATATACGATTACAACTGTGAATATAAGATTACAACTGTGAATATTAGATTACAACTGTGAATATAAGATTACAACTGTGAATATAAGATTACAACTGTGAATATTAGATTACAACTGTGTATATTAGATTACAGCTGTGAATATAAGATTAGAACTGTGAATATTAGATTACAACTGTGAATATAAGATTACAACTGTGAATATTAGATTACAACTGTGTATATTAGATTACAGCTGTGAATATTAGATTACAGCTGTGAATACTAGAAAACTGGTAATATCCTAGTTTTGTTAAAGAATGAAACCTATGTCAATATCTAGAAGAGTACAGGAAGAACAGGGTACTCACTACTCAGCTCTCTAATCTTTTCCTATCTATTATCCTTCTTCAATTGACAAAGACAAATAATTCCACGATATTAGTTTCACAAAGAAAAAACTAATAAAGC